GGTGCTCCCCTGCCTGTGTGTAGGCGTCAGCCAGCAAAGCACACTTGTGCTCGAGCTGAAGAAAAACAGCTAAACATGTTTCCTCCCACAAATGTTGCCGACACCCGGTGGCTTGATAAGCAACAACACGCACTTCCTTGCCAGTTTTTGTTTGAACCGGAGAAGATGATTTTGTAAGAGAGTCGTGTATCATCCGGGCAGGTGGAAGAAAGGAGATGATGATTAACAGCTGGTCGCTGGCTTTGATCAAACTTTGATCCATTGTACAACTGACTGAAAAATCATCACACGACTGAAGATTTTGTGATATTTTTAGACTTTTAAGGTCACTGTGTTGTTTTGAGGCATCTTTTATTCAAGCTCATCATTCTCATCCGCTTTGATTCCACTGTCAGTTGGAGCTCAGAGGTACATGGTCTGCATCAAACATGAGACAAATCTGGAGATTAGCTGGTGAACAAAGTGGAGCATTTAGGATTTGACACAAGAAAAAGCTCACCTCTATAGGAGTGGCATAGAAACATTTTGGCTGCGTGAATAGCCAATCAAAACCACAAATACTTCCAAGTACTTTTGCAAAGTATGCAAAACTGTATTTTTCTGTTACTTTTTCAACCTGGTCTGGCACTTTTTCTCTTTTTGTCTCCAAACACTCATTTTCAGAGCCTCCACGAGAGGTGCTGGGACAGGGAAACCCGTGTCTCTGCTAGGGAGATTTGAGCCTTTGATTTTATTTTGGCATGGCTGTGGCTTCCCCTGTGAAAGTTAGAATGCACACCTACCGATGCTGAGCCGACCTGGAGCCCGTATGAGACGAAGTTCTCTGCGGAGCCTAGACCTAAATGTCTGACTACATGTTTTCTCATTGCACTTAAGTTTTTGGTTACTTTTCCTTTCTTTTTTTAACCAATTTAATGCACCATACCCTCAGTTTGATGGCTGCCATTTTGCCATCATCTTGGACATTTTGAGACGTTATGAAACACAACACCTGTTCCCCAGAATGGCGTCACCACAAAGCTGCCATGAAGTGTGCTTTTTAGCACTGTGGTTGCAGAGCATTTCAGAGGAGTATTTTTGAGATTATATCATAGCCTAATTAGATGCTTGTCCAAAAATAAATCTTCAAAAAATCAGTTAAAATTGCATAACTGAACCACTGCTGTTATATAAACTTATTTATGCTCATGCGATAATTAAATGGACCGTAATTGCGTAACATGGGTTCAAGCTGTCCTAAATCAGCTGCTGTAGAGACTTTCTTTATCGATATTGTCTAGTTTGTTAGACAAACATCATAATACATTTCATAACATCGTTATTGTGTGTGTTTTTGTGACCTGATTAAGGGCTGCACAGAGGGAAGTGTAGGAGGTGATACAGTAACACCAGCTGGTCCACATACTGACTCACCAGACTGCCAGATCAGTGTGCGCGTGTTTTTCTTAAGACATAAACTAAGTTTTGAGTGTGTGTGTGTGTGTACAGTTTTGAGATCAGGTAACGGGCTGACTTGCTGCCAAACTTAAAATGTGTTTCAATAACTCCTCACCATACCACCCACCATCTGTGTTTTGATCAGATGTTCGCTGTCGTGATCTGAACTAACTTGCACTTCACGACTTTGTTCCAATTTCCCTGACATGGATTTATCTGATCATCCAATTTGAGCGGCAGTCAGAAACCACGAGTCCGCGTTCAGATGCTGAGGAGTCTTTGGTTTATACTCATTTCATGCGTTTTTCTTTTTGTTTTTTTGTTTTTTGCCTTTTTCAATGAAGATGCTTATTAATATAAAAAAATGTGTTATTGCTTCTGACTTAAAGGGAAAAAATAGCTTCTGACTTGAAAAATATAAAAATCACATCACTCACTAGCTGAGAAAGCAAACAATAAACAGATATTGTGTATAAATTAATAGAAATTAAAATCATTTGTGAAGAAGACGTTAATTTTCCTTCAAGTTGATGTCCACCACAGTATCTGTTGTCAGGGTTTTTTTTGTTTCCTTTCTCAGCCAGATTTAACAAGGTTTCTAGTTTATAGTAAAGACTCTTACTTCCTCTTCTGTTAAACAATATTGGAAATCCTCAACTTCTAAAAGTTGAACAACAATGGAGTGTGTGTTTCATTTGCCCCTTTGCATTACGTTGTTATTATTTGCATTTAGTTGGGATTGTAACATTTTTCTCTTAAAAAATTACATATTATAAATAACATAACTGGCAAATGGTAGCATAATACAAGTTAATGCTATTTGACAAATTTCCATTGTTTCAAAAATATTTTCAAGGCTTTTTTTTAATTGTGGTGGTATTTTTTGTGTTTACATTGGATTTTTTATTAACATTCCAATCACTGCAAATCCATTTAAAGAGATTACTGAGTGAATTTCTTCCAAAATTATGTAATAATGAATCAACTATAAATCATTAATGCTATGAACAAATAAGGGTTGAAAAAAACTAATAGTGGAGCTTCAGGAGCCTTAGGGATGGGGAGTTCTGACATTATCAGGACTGTGACGGCAAATATATCGTTACATCATCACCATGCCAACATCTAAAATGCGGCCAAAACAACATACATTCAGAGCTCAGAGGCTGTCTGGAAACAAACTGCATTTTTCAATTCTTCCTTCAGTTGATACATAGATTAATTCAAGCCTGCCAGTACACTTTCCTCCACAATGGGGACCACACACACACTCCACTGGTTTTGTTTGCATGCAACATTTTCGTTTTATCTCCACTGTCTGCTTCAATTAAACAAAAACTCTGTCTTGCTAAAAGCTTGGATGGTAGGCTTAGTGTTGGGCTTTTTGGAAGCACAAACTATTTTGTGTGTTTAATATTTAAGTGGTTCTAATTCATCCCATCAGATCAGTTTACATCAACGTTGCCATGGCGAGATGGAAAGAGTGACAGGCACATGCAGCTGGGCACTAGTTAGGCCTGTTTTTTTTCTTCTTTTTTTACATTTTGACTGATGAGCACCACATTTGACTTTATAAAGGCTGGGGTTAAATGGGTTGGTCAGTGCTTTGTGTAAAAGCAGCTTCACCACCTTGGTTTGAGAATGTTCCAATCAAACCCGTCTTTTGGTGTATTGTACAACACTGCAGCGATATGTACTTGCCGAAACCTAAAAACTCTGGACTAAATGACGTCTAAATTAATTCAAAATCAGAGAGAATTTGACGTGACCAGATTTTTATAGCTGACTAAGGATTAAATAAAATTCAATAAATTGGCTTTAATCTCCAATCAGACCACAATACGACATGGTTGCGTGGTTTGAAGGCCATCTCCTGATCCTCCTGCCTTCCTGTCCTGTATTGGTCAATTAAGGTTGTGTAAACAATGAAATGTGAGCTCCTCTCGGGGGGGGGGGGGGGGGGCAGCAGAACTGTGGTAGTGTGGCAAAGGTGACGGCGTGTGAGAAATTCATGTTACCAGGCAGGATTCACTCCACTCGCTGCTGTCACCGCCCCCCTCCCGCTCCTCACTTCCTCCCCACGTCACTGTTTCTCAGTGACGTGGGCCCCTCCCCCCCCCCAGGCTTCCCAGGGATGTGGGTTAGTGTGTGCAGTCATGTGAGACTGGGCCCTGACCTTCCATCATGCCTGTGTGAGTGAGTAAAGTGATCTGTGAATGTTAATCCCGCCCTGCAAACCCGGGTCTTAAGGGGTCCTTGGGTTCACGGCAGTGTTTTGAAGCGACCCCTTCCCTCCACCGTCACCGGGAACATCGTCATTTAATCGATTGCACGTTTTGTATTGTTCCGAGAGTCCACTTTCATCCTCCCTCTCCTGCAGTCCGTTGCCCTTTCCATCCCTTTTTTTAATGCCCACAGTCCCTCTTCCTTTGCCGTACTCTCATGTTCATTCTAGTTTCTCGCTTAAAGCACAGATCCATCTCCCCACACTCTTGTTTAAACTTTGTTTATGTTTTTTCTACTCTGCTCTTAACTTGATTCATTCCACTAGTTGGTTTTAACGTTGATTTTTTTTGTTGACGTTTCCTTTTGGTGGCATTGATGTTGTTTATTGACATCTATGATGTGTGATGCTGTCCTCTCGAGCCAATTGTGAACTCTGCTCACCTGAAAGTGGTTCCACATTAATTTATCCATCTGTGCTTCCCCTTCTCCCTTCATTTTCATTTTCTTCCTTATATTTGTGGACATTTGTCCAAATGGCCACCAGCTAATGCCTCCCTCCATCACTCACCTCTTGTCCATCTTTCTTGCATCCCATGTGCTCAATTTCAAAGAGCTAAGTTAGTTTTTTAATCTGAGTCATACAGCGCTGTCATTATCTCTTGATCCCTATCCGCTTTTTAAGTTTTCTCTCAGTCCATACCTCCACTCCTAAAGATTTAACCGACCCTTCAATGCCAATTATCAAATCCCCTTTTACGAGATTTGAGCTAAATGACCACAAATGACTGAATTGATGGCTTTATTGGGCTATTGGGGTAATCATTTTTGCTCCAGCCCACACTTCCCCTATCTCTTTACATCTTCTCCCACTCCTTCGTTCCTCCTTCACCTTTTTCTTCCGTCCAGGCTGTCCCAACTGAACCCCATTACCTCTGTTACCTAAGGCAGCTTCTCTGGAGAGGGCGTGGCCTGCTGACGTCACACTGGTTCCTGTGTCAGTTGGCTGGAGGGGGAGGGGGAGTGGGAGGTGGACAGGAAAGGCAGCACGACCGGCGGGCGGGGGGGCTCCTACGGACGACGCGCACGGGCTGCTTTCAACGACTCATTGTTTTGTAATTGTCCCAGTGGCCCTCTGTCCTCACTGGTTTGCCGGTTAAACTGCGAGACGAGGCTACACGTTGGGAGACTCTCACATACACTCACTCAAACACGCACAGACACACACATGTAGAAGGGAGAACACACACTCACCAGCTGGAGTGACATTCCAAAAGTTGAGAGTGTTAGTAGGAGGGATGGATCTTTCATCAGAGTAGGAGACAAAAAGTTTGAGCCACATGACATGGGTGAGTAGCTGAAATCTCTTTTGACTGAGTGGCTCGACGTGGGTGAGCTTCACTGGCTCATCGGCACCTTTTTTTTTCCCTTTACATCTCTGCACAGCTGCACTTTTCTTTCAGCACACTGTCTTGTAGACTTATCAGATGTCTACGTCTTTATCGTCATATGTGTGTAGACATTAAACGTGGTGGTGGTGGGGGGGGTTCTATCACACTGACCTACATGTGGGAGAGTGCCCAGTCTTCAGCCGGGCCATAACGGCAGAGCAGTGCTCAGAGGTTTCATAAGGCATATTATGAAATGGAAGCAGGAGCTGTCCTTGTTCCCTTTCCAAAAAGTTCTTGCCTCAGTTAACTTTGACTTCGTCATTTTTTTGGGACCGATTCAGACTTTTGCGGCTATTTCAGTCACAAGCTAAACTGGCGTAGCCTTTCTTTAATATTTTTTTAGTTTTCTTTTTCTCTTAAGTAAAAGTCATTTTCTTTTTTTATGGAGTAATGAGACTTTGGTCCAAGAAGAATCTCCTTCAAGTTTCCTAAGTTTTCCTCAGGTCAATATTAAACTCTTACATACTGGAATAAAAATCCTTACAGGTAAGACAAGTTTTTCATGTGGATGTGCTGTTCTCTTTAGAGACTAACACCAGCATCAAGCAGCATTATTGTGAATAACAACCACGGATTAAGCACCGATGATCACGGAATGGGAGCTTTGATCAACTTTTTCAAGAAGTAAACTATGTTATGTTTCTATATGAGAACTTATTAAGTGATGGAGGTGTTACAGTGTCGGCTACATGCGGTCTGAGTGTGGCTGGATCTATTTCAGCATTTTCAGTTCCATGATATGAGGCTTTCCCCACTATTCAAATCGATGTATTCAAAACATTTTTGGTGTTCTTGACTATTAAAAGACAGCTTATGTTCGGCGTGTTTTGCAGCAGCTTGCATACACTTTTGTTATCAGCACATGAGGTTTTGTGTGCATCATGGTATGGGTTTTCTGAGGCTACCGCTGGCATTTTTAAGAGACCTTGACCCAGATTTCGGCATGCCTATTTCCCTGCGCCCCTCATTCTGCCACACGCTCGCCGTCTGGGTGAACAAGCTCTGGTCCACGTGGAAAAGCTGGTGTTTGTGTGAAAAATGTGCATGCCTTAACCCGTGTGTGCATGTTTGCACATCCCGTTCCTCACAAAGGAAGAAGGGGCAGCGACTCCCTTAAATATGTGTGGAGCGCGTCGGTGTTTAATAGCTGCTTAAGGGAACCCTGATCTCCTGAGAGCCGCCTGAGCTCTAGGGGTAGAAGTGTGGCGGAGGTGTTTGATCAATTACCAACCGACAAACACATCAACAGCGTGAGCGTGGGGGCGCCCGCTTCCGCACATGCTCCGTATTCCTGCCTGTGTTTATGGGGGGAGTGTCTTCTGTATTTTTATTTTTTATTTTTTGTCTTAGGGAGGGGCGATGCATGAGATGCGTGACGTAGCGGTACCCCCTGAGAGGGGCCCCGGCTCCAGCAGGAAGGGTTATGTAAGTTTTCATCTGCCAGCCCTCCTGCCTGCCTGCCACAGCCTCACATTCACGCTGTTGTTGAGCGGGGAGCAGCTGCGGAGAGGCCAGACACCCGTCAGTGAGGCAGTCAGTCACTGAGGCACTAGACCGAGGACCAGCCCAGAGTAGAGGCAGACTGGAAGGAGCGTAGGCCGAAACCTCCTGCCTACTTTTGAGGTTTTTAAAAGAAAAAAAATAAGTTTTACCCTCCATTGAAAGAGGAGGCGAATTCGGCTGAGTGGCAGGCAGGCAGAGCAGACCCGCCGTCCTGTTTTCTGGGTAACCATGCTGCTCCTGGACGAGTCGGAGTCGTTCGCAGGTAGGTGGTCGCCTTACTTTTATCCGTTAGCGGACTTTTGCTAGGCGAGGAGGCAAATGGAGAGAGGCATAAAAACGCCGAGCACAGCCTCTCTGCAGCATTTGACCATTCGGTAGAGGGGCAGCCGGACGGTGGCTGGACGCAGGGCCGAACGGCCCGGGGCGTCCCGGCTTGACACTCGGAAGTGTGGAGAAGCTGCGGCGCTAATTGGCAGACGCTAGTTAAGTTACTTAACGTTGTTGTGTAACACTGGATCCATAGCCGCTTAGGCGCGCGCGCTCCGTCCGCCCCGCGTCCCGCGAGCAGCTTTATCTTTCGCTTTCAGCCGCCAGGGCTCCTTTCGGTGAGACTCTTTACTGTTCGCGTCCTCTTCGCTGATTTATTCGTTTGTTTATGTCTTTTTTTTGCCGGCTTCTCCACACCCGTGTCCGCGGCGTGTCTCTGCCGTGTTGTCGTCTCGGGCCGCCCTCCCATTGGCCGGCCGCACCGTTACCTAAAGCGGAGGCCGCTCCTGATTGGTGGAGCCGGGCGGGTTGAAGCCATGCTGGAAGTGTGAGCATGTGGAGGAGGAAAACATATGGTTCAGCAGAGCAGTGGGGAAGGGGGGCAAATGCACCCAGGCGCCGTTTGAATGAATACAAGGGAAATACTCCAACACAGCGAGTAGTTTAAAACCTATTTTAAGACTCATTTAAACAAAGAGTCAAAACCTTCAATGTCCAAGAAAAAGATGTACGCTTTCAGAAAAGAGTCTAACACACAAAATTCAAGGAAAGCAGCCAAGAAAAATGAATTCAATCTATTGACTCTATTAAAATATACACTCTTAAATGAATAAAACACATTAAGTTGTGGTGTTAGAACAGTGGATTAGTTCATGGTCAGTCGCTTACCTGTGAGTTTAATTGGAAGGTTGTCTGAGGTGGCCAGTGGCTGCAGAGTCTTACAGAGCTATGCAGCAGGTTTAATGCTTTAATGACCTAAAAATCTCTATTTTAACTTGACTCTCAAGGCCAAAGCAGATGGGATACAGCCCACGCACATGAGTTTAAATTCTGATGCTGTTGCTTGTTCTTTATGAATGCAGGCACGTTATTGTAATGAATGTCTTATGAGCTTATTTAGCCAGCATCTATTTACTGTATCAGTAGATCAACTAGTTGATGGTTGTTGTTTTTTTACGCTAAACGTTCCATGACTGGAACACAAAGTGCAGCCTTAGATGAGGGCCGTGCACGGCTTTGGGCGGCCTTCTGAGGGTTTCCGAGTCCCAGCTGAGTCACTGCTTACAACAGCTGCACGTCTGTGCGGGTTAGATTCACCAGTGGCTGTGATTCAGTCCGCTAGGTTGAGCATGAAATATGTGTCATTGGTTTTTTATTGTCACGATTTGTAATTTGGAGCTGCTTTCTGGCCTGATTGAAAATCAGATGGCGATTTCAGTGTCCATCATGACCTATGATTTCATATTTACCAGGTAGCTTTTAGATTCTTTTTTTTTAAAAAGGCTCTTCTAGCTGCTGTATTCCAGTGCCTGTAACCCCCTTAAATAACGAGGACTCTTTTTTTAAGGGTTAAAGCATCTGGTGTGTGCCCCCCCCCTCTCAGCCGCTCTTCCTCCGGCTCGGCAGCAGTGACACACTGGCCTACAAACCTCCTCTTCCACCTCGCATCACCCTTCTGGTGATCTTTATCGTGTCGTCTCCTGACCGTCTTTCTCTTTTGAGTCTTTGTCACGTCTGTCTGGTGCCTACTCAGCGTTTCTATGACGCGTTGCCAGGAGGAGGGTTTCATAACTCACCTGCCCGGCTCTAATAAGGCAGCCTTAATAACTAATTCGGGGGCAGCCTGTTATGTAAGATGGCTGTGTGGCAGATTGTTTGCACATCCGAGTTTGTTCGCTCCTTTTGAGAAACAGAAAAATGTTACTTTGTCGTGATTATTTGCAAGGTAAGTGAAAACCCCTGTTACATATTTACATCCTGGTATTTAGAACAAGCATCTGACTCGAGTTCAGCCCATGTCTTTACATTTCAAGCGGAGCTCTATTATCTCAAATCTGGTATTTGATTCTGAAAATTGTCCTTTATCAGGAAATAGATCAAGTGAACTACTTCATTAGTTTTTTTTAATGCATGGATGGAAAATATTTGATGATTTGCAGCTTCCGTGTGACAGAAATCTCTCGTGAATCAATAAAAAAGGTTAAACTTTTGACAAATGAAGCTAACACGTAGTAATGCTATGACTTTTTGATAAGTTATTAAATCTACCACTCTTGTCTTTTTCTTCACCAAACCTGTTGATTTATGGCCTGTACACTTGTCCCATTCATCTCCTCGTCATTGCTGACACGCCAGACGTTTTCCCCGGCCGTTAAGGTGTGGAAGACAGTCCAAAGAGTCTGAGAGCCGCTTGGCCAACGGCCAGTGGAAGGTGGAAAACCCTGACTCTGGCAGAATGCGGCGGGATGACGCGCAGTCGTCCCTCTGTACATATTTGCGCCCGCGTGTAGGTGTTCCTAAAACATTTCAGCCTTTGTCTGAGTCTGCCAGCTTTTAATAGTGCGTTCCCTGCGTTCGTGACGCGATACATCTTTATGTGTGTGTGAGTGTTTGTGCGCACAGGACGTGAGCTTCATGCGAATATGCTGGTTGTGTAACAGCCAGAGGCGGCAGTTACATAAGCGTCCCTGCTCGTACGGCCAGCCTCGGCGGCGGTGGCCTCGCGGTTAGGAGGCAACTGTCTGTGAGTGAGAGGTCCAGTGTGGATCAGCGAGGAGGCTAATCTGCCAGAGACAAAACCGGCCGGCTTATTGGGTGCCGCAAGGTGTGGAAAGTCGAGTAGGTGGAAACGAGGGAAAGTTTTTGTTCTCTCAGGGTCTCAGCTCTTATCGCAGCCCACTGACCTCGTTAGCACGATCACCTCGGACCCGTCTCCCTCTCTGTGGTTTGGACATTTTGCACTTTTAACAGGGACCTCCTGCTGGCTGGTTGTCAGCTCCCCCCTATGTGTTAATAAAGAGAACTTTTGCAATGAAATGTCCAGGAAAAGTGGATCTCTATTAGTTGCTGATCTGTTAGATTTCTCCAGCACCTTCAAACAGACCTGATTAGATGAGCTTAGTTATCTTCCAAACAAAAGGTTTTTTTAAATGTGAGAGAAATATTACTCCAGATTAGAAACAGTGTCTGCAATGAGAAAAACTTCAAATGAAGAACTGATTTTAAAAATGGTTTTATTACACTGATTCCTATAGTTCCACTCTTTATAATTCGGCCATTATTAGTGTGGAGAGAAGGCAGAGAAAAAGAAGAGGGAGTGGCAGGTGACTAGAGGAGAACATTACAGAGAAGAAATGAAAGTATAGCTTTCAGTCACATAATTGTAGGAGGAGGAAGAAGTGAACGTGAGAGAATAAGGTGTTGATTCTTCTTTTAAAGGCCAAGACCGACCAGACATAATTACTGACTTCATTTTCAGATGTTTCACACACTCCAGTCATTTTCCCAACCTGCCCTAAAGGAAGGAATAATAGAGGTACAAAGGTACAAATGTTCTGCTGCAAAAGAGAAAAAACAGTGAGCATTATTTTTAGAATAATAGAAGCACAGAAGATGCAATTTAACTGAACATGATTATCATCCGAACAGGCGTGTCGTGGAGCAGATTTCACACGAGCTGTTCTTTTACCAATATTTTAAAAGTCATGTCTTATACGATTCCAATTTAGGCTTTAAATTGAGGTTTTCTGAATCATGGAGAATAGCTATGAGATAAAAAGCTATGTGTGCGATAATCTGTGGAGGCTTTAGATTTATAAGATCTGGTTATTTACTAATGACGCATTTCCCGTCCAGTTCCTAGAATCCCATTTGTGTGGAAACGGCTGAATGATCGAACATTTTTTTTAGAGTATGTGTGTGTGTATGTGTGTGACACTGGGGATTCTCCACTGTGTGGTGATTGATATCTTCCATCATATTTAATCTGCTGATGTAGGCGGCAGACCCGGCGGGGCGTGACCCAGACATACTATCATCTTCAGCTGTTTCATTTATTTATTAGACAATCATCTAATGTCAAAGGAAGAAAGAAAAAGAAAGAAAGAGCAGATGTGTGAATGTGTAATTGTTTTTCATCCTAGCTGTATGAGCAGGAGACAGAAAAAAAACCTGGAGTCCCACAGGATCTGTATATTTAATGTAGTTTTTTAAACTTTTTCACTGGATAACATTGTGTCTGTCTTGGCTTGTAATTTGCTGTACGTTTTCCAGTCCAAAGCAAGTGTTGAATAAGTGTCTATAGCCTGCTTTTTGGTGGCGATTGAGACTAAAGCAGCAGGCTAAAGGCTCTTTTCAGTTTGTTTCTGTAATGAATGTGGACAAACCCATCGCAGAGCAGCTCGGGGAGCCATTACTTGATGACTCTACTGATGTTTAGTTGTGTTTTGACCCAGAAGGCAAGACGTTTGTTTTTTTTAGTGTGTAGTGGAAATTTCGTTTGAGTTTTTTTTGGGGGGGAAGGAAATTTATATTCTAATATCTGCCTACTCGAGGCATTGGCTCTGATTTGACGCACCGGCAGTGCCATCACATGGTTGCCGCGTTATGTTTGTCACTACACTTTGAAGGGTTACATAAACACATACATAGAAGGGGTTATGCAACCCCGTAGTTACAGAAGTTGTGGCCACACTCAAAATGATCCCCCACCTCCACACGAAGTGTCATTTAGCCGCAGTGCGTCTTTAATGCCTCTGTGCCACTTATCTATCCAGAATAAGCAGCACCAAACCCCCCGGGCACAGTCCTAACCAATAAATTAGTGGTTTAGAAATCTTCCCGCAGGCGCTGTGACCCTGGCTGAGTCCTGATGACTCGGTGTTTCGCGCAGGAACTCGGTTACACTCTCTCGCTCCTCGTCTTATCGAAGATCAAGCGTTCCCTCATGTCATGTTGCTTAGTGATTGTTGCAGTTGTTTGGTTTCCTCCCCCAGCTGGAAAGTCGCTCGCAGGACGTCTGAGTTTGATTTGGTCACCTAGCAGCAGTCAGTCCTCCTGCTCAGGCTTTCCTTATAAGATAGCAGCCCTTAATGAGACGGGCAGGCCTCCGGCGCTGAAATTAGTCGTGAATTTAAAGCTACGGGCTGATTCAGTTACAGCGTGCACAGCTGCCTCTCTGCTGCTCAGCTTCTGCCCAACACTCGTAATGAATTGTTCAAGCAACTCGGTGGAAAGTTCAAATGTGTCTAAAACACGATCACAGTTAGTTACTAACGTGATCATTTGGCTCAGTTCAACCGAAATCCCAAAGTGAAGAATGAAGAGAGAGGTCAAAAGTGCCATCACACAGTTTTAGATCTCATTTAGAACCCGTCACGATCTGAATGGAACGTTTTACATAACAGATGAGGGAATGCAAGTTGTAATGAAGCAGCTGATGCCTTTTCCATCCAAGGAACTCTGCTAATGGTGAGCAGAGAAAAGCTGGTAAGCAGCAGCTCTGTGCAAACTGAAGCCATCCTAGAGGTTTATGAGGAAAGAAAACTTTAAAAAATGTTGGCATGAGAAGTGGGGGTGGGAGGGGGAGGGGGGGTTACATTTGTCTGGAATGTATTGCAGCGGTGACTTTTTTCAGACCAGATTTCGATCAGAGCACGACGCAGCACCTATAGAGAGGGAGACTTAAAGTTTCATGGCTTCTAACTGGAGAGCAGTAAACAATTCTTCTGTTTGTGTGAGAGTATTGTCTAAGCTGGAGTCACAATGCAGAAAGGTGAGTGCTTTTAAGAAGCTGTTCATTTTCCTGTGTGTGTGTGTCATTGTGTCACTAAACCTCGAATTCTGCAGAGAACGGTCTGAAATTCACAGGTCATGGCTGCTCACTTATATTTTTCTTCTAATGCTCGCTCCTCCATGCTCCTCTTGACATCTCATCCGGTTTTTCAAAGCTGAGTTTAATCCTCAGAGCACCTGAATAGACAACACATTACAGTAACTTGTTTTTCAGCTTGTTCTCGTGCACATCTTTTCAAAAGTGCCTTTATGCTACGAAACTGAAACAAGTGATTTGACTTAATTGTATATTGCGTTCAAAGTCGTATCTTTTAAAACATTGCTTTAAATGACTGTTAATTACTCCAGATTGTCTTTTTTGTAGACACGTTTATTGAGCAAAATATAGTGATGTACATTAGATTTTTTTAACACCAACCGGCTCAGTGAACGTTCCTGCTTGCAGGTTACCTCATTTGCTCCAAGACAAAACAAAACGGCAAGAAGCCGTGTGAGTCGTGTTGTTTTTTACTCAGTTTGAGGGTAAACAAATAAATTCAATGTTTTTGATAAAAACATCTCAGTGGTTTGGGCGTGCACACAAGGTTTTACAGACCAAGAAACGTTTCATAGCAGACTTCATAAAGGCGCTCTCCCTCTTTGGGGACTGAATGTTTGACTTGTCGTCCTTTGACCTGAACAGAGGAAACGGACCCGTTTCCCAGAATCAAGTGTGTGTGTGTGTGTGTGTGTGTGTGTGTGTGTGTGTGTTTGTGTGGGCTTGTTTGTGTGCGCCACCTCTGTGAGCCAGTGTTTCATCCACCTCGTCTCACTTTGAAGTGCATCTCTCCCTTTGAATGATGGCCCTGCTTTCATCTGTCCCTTATTCTCTCCCTTTGCTCTTCCTGCCCCCTCAGTGTCTCGTCCTGTACGTGTTGTGAGTGTGTGTGTGTGTGTGTGTGTGATGTCGAGGCTCTGTGCTTTTCAGGAACTGTTACATAACCTGCACAAAGACGAGTTGGAGGAACAGCAAAGGGGTGGCCATGCTGACCGTGTGTCATGTCTACGGCACAGGAGACCCGTTTTTTTCAACTTTATCATGAAACATTGACAACATTGATCCGGTTTGTGTTGACTAGTTCATGGAAGACCTTGCACTTCATCTTTTTTAAGTAGCTGGTCCCTGAGAATGGGCCAGCTACTCAAAAAGCTTGCTTTAAAGCTTGCTTTTAATCTATAGTGTGCTGAAAGAGTTCAGACATGCTGATGGTTCATCTTAGTGGTTAGCTTAATGCTAGAATGCTAAAAACATCTTTTATCGTATTAGCTTTAGCGTTCACTTGGGTCAGCAATGTACGAAGGGCCAGTCTGTTATTAGCTTTTTCTGGATTTCCAGAATCCTCTGTCTGAGAAAGGTCCCCAAAACAAGTGATTTTCAGTCACGTCCTTACATTAAAGTCCACAGATGGGAAAGGGGTGTAGACCAGTTGGTAAATTAATACAAAGATTTAGTTGTTCCAGGTATAAATTGAACATTTCTGAGCACTCAAATTTTTATTTGTATCTTTGAAATATCAGACACAGCGTGCAATGCCTCTATATTGGATTTAGTTTGATTTGTTTATGCTTCTCCCCTCTTTAATTTGATATGGTAATTGTTCAAAATTAATTTAGTTTAAATGCCATCTGAGACGCTCGGTAAACCACAGACAGATGGAGAGGAGCCGGTGTCGAAACAGCCAGACTGAAAAGCCTGTTGCCTCAATGCCGGACTGAAGGGGTGTTTTATGTAAGTTGTTTTTTAGTTCACACTGAGCTCATCACCAGCCTCCAGAGCCCATTATGTGAAAGGGTGTGTGTCTGTGTGCACGTGCATGCACAAATGTGCACATTTTAAACCCAGGTGCCACACACTGGGCATGTCCTTCAGTTTTTTCTGTTTGTATTGAAATTGATCATCTGGGTGTTGGCAGGGTGTCTTTAACCAGTCATCCCAGTTAGATTTTTGACTGCACTGGTCCACATATTTTGTGTGTGTGTGTGTGCGTTTGAGAGAGGGAAGAGAAAAAAAAACAGAAAGTCAAAAATTATTAATGAATTTAATACTAATATTTTAGGAGCGGTGTCCTACTGGAACACATGTGTGCGTCAGCGTTTGAGTCCTGTCTTGTGTTTCATAAGCTGTCCATATTTATGACCCAGCTCTTACATAAGCCTTCGATCTGATTCAGTGTGTTTCTGGCAAGTAAGACAGAGTGGAGGAGGAAAGAAGAAGAAAGGTGAGAGTGAAATGCAAGCAGAGTGAGAGAACACGAAGCAAACGTCGAGTGTACAGAAAGACAAAACAAAGTCAACACTAATTGGAATCGAACTAAAAGGAAATCCTTGCAGATGCCCGCTGACAACTTTTCTAAGTAATACAGATTCAATAGAATTTTGTTTTTCAAGTATAATTCGACGGCCTTTCAAAACCCAGAAATGGCATATACTAAAAAATGCCACAAAGATTCTTGTCCTCTGTGACAAAAGTTGAATATTTTGCTATTAAATCTTTTTTAAATCCATGAGTAAATCTAATAAAAAAAACCTTCGAGTACGTATGTGCTTTTTATTTATTGCCACATAAATGTTTCATAACAGGATTAGTTGATTATTTAGAATAGGAATTTGGGTTTGGTTTGCTCATTTGTTGAAAGGATATGCCAGTTTGCTGTTTTCTGCTGGTTTTTGTATTTTTTTACTATCCATATAGAAAAGGGTTAGGGGTGTAGAGTGCAACTTGGGATCAAATCGAGTAAGTGAGACTGCCCACATTTAGATTTGTCTCTCCGTGTTCGATAGTATTAACACTATCACTTAAAGAGTAATTATTTCTCAAAGCTGAAGGGGGGTGGTACATGGCAGCCCAAAGAGCCTTCTTAATGAATCTTATGACACAGTTACAGAGCCTTAATGAGAAGGGGGGGTTCTCAGTGAAGTGTGCTATGTGCTGATTTGTCATAATCTATAACAGTGAAACGCTTTAGTTACATTTCCCCTGAGTCATGAAAAATGATAAAACACCCAGTTACACAAGCGAATTTCAGTTAGTGTCATTTAGCAGACACTGGGTTATTTCAGATTGAGTTCATTAACAGATTTGCTGCTCTTTTTTTTAATGAATAATTATTCCCCAGTCTGAATCAGCTGAGAACATAAAGCTTCACTACATGTGAAAATGTTTGGGGATTCAAATCAAACTACTTGAAAGTCGCTTTTGTGGGCATTCCGCTGAATTTGTTTTATTGTTCTTTCTTGGAAAACAACTCTGAAGATATACTGGTCTGCTTGCTCTTTCATAGGACAGCAGACTCTTGTGACTCAGCGCAAATTTTCTCAGGATTTGTTTCGTAGTGTGGAGTTAGAAGCTTTCATTTAGAACTTGACTGAGAAGAAAAGGAGCTTCTCAGCTGTAAGCATCTTCACCTGACTTTACGGAGCATTTATTTAAGATTCACGTCTTTTAAGTTTCCATTTGAACTCACGTTTTTAGCAAAGATTACTCGTTTTGAAGTTGGATCGCTCTGAAGTGTGGGACTTTTGATTGTCGAACGATAATAATCTACACTCGCATATCGTGTCTTGTGGATGGACAGCCTTACGATCCACGCTTTTGTTGCCCTTAAGCGACGTTTACCCATCCTGTTCTTTCCCTCTTCTCCTCACAGACCAGCCCCACGGTGCTCCCTTCAGCTCCGAGAATGAGACTCAGGGCGGCGACACGGGCGTGTGGCAATGCACCCCTCCCCCATCTACCTCGCCTTCGGCGGAGACGCCGGCCCACCCGCCCGCCTCACAGTCCGTACCCAGACCCCAGTCCAGGCCGGCAAGCCAAAGCCCCAGCCCCCCCACCACCCTGACAGGAACCAAGAAGAGGAGCTCCAAACCTGCACACATGAGACGAAACATCAGGTACTGAACCCGGCGCTCTCATTCCAACTGGAAATGTGGCCTCAAATGGACGCCCACCTGGTTTATTTGTAAAGTCCTTTACCAAACTGCAACAGGATCTTTAACAGTCCCGAATCCAACTACACCATGCCACTGAAACAGATCCTATGAAAAACACTGACTATTAAAGTTATTCAATGCCACGAAATGCAAGATATATTGTTCAGTAATACTACAACCATTGTTTGTTTTTTTTAACTTTTCCAATAACTTACTGGACAGAGCAGCAATAAATTTAACATTCAGTTTCAAATTGAATTTAGTTCTTTGCTTAGATTACTCTGACAGCAGAACCAGAGTCCTGATTGCGTTTCAACCTTGAGTTGAAAAAGATCACGACACAATTTCCTGGAAATGCAACGTTCACTCTCCTAATTCAACACAGTTGGCTGCGTTCATCACATCAGTAGGGTGTATTCTTCCCTTTCGTCACCGACCTCAATCTCATCTGGAAAAATTTGAAAACAAAGGCCAGCTATAGATGTCTGTCCCTGATTATGCATATGCTGAGTTTACGGCTTCATTCCTCTGGCTGACAGTCAACATCGTAAAGCTTAGCCTGAAGAATGCTGTTGCTTTTGTTTCAGCCAGTTGTAGACGTTGAAGCATGCATTAAGAATCCATGTTCATGGGTAAATGCCCTACCTTTAGATTACTTGGTGATCATTGTAGCCATCTGTGTATTTAAGAAGAAATTCAACCATCCCGGAGTTTTTGCTTTTAATGTAAAAAATGTAATTATCCAGCTGTCATAGTCGAGTTTGTTTTAGTGAGCGGAACTTATAGGTCCGACATATAAAAAAAGCCACATTTCTTGAATTAAAGGTTACTCTTTCTTCACCGAAGATGTGAAAACAAGCAAAGGGAAAACTGTATTTTCCCTTATGGCGAATTAGAGGGCTTTGAGCATTCATTTGAAATGATTTCTCTCTATGCCAGCCTAATTTGTAAGTCTTCCCTCAGCTCTTTCGGTTCGGACTCCATTAGCTTAACTGCCATCTGTTTTGCTGCGTTCAGCAGCTTACTTTGTCTGCCATTTGGTGCTGGCAGAGCATCCACCGAGGGTTTTTATTAGCTTTGTAATGAAGGGCTTTCCTACTAACTCGCTCAACCAAACAAAGTGATACCTCTGTGAAATAAATTGTCAACGTAACTTCAAACAAAAAAAAAAGAAAGAAAATGCCCAGCAAATATATTTCATCATTTTACCGCTTGCGGCGTTCCATTTGATGTTTGATGATTACATACATACACTGATTAATGCCCGGTCCGACTCCCAAACTGAGAGCACTGTGTGTTTTTGAAAAACAAGAGCAAACGCATAAAAGACGCCATGTGTTCCCATTTAACACAGTTGCTGCTTATTGTACCCATTTGCAGCCATAATGGAACCAGTTTCTCTCTCTGCATGCAAACAGAAAGTTACTGAGGGAACATCAGTTGGATGCTGTGACCAAAGTTGCCCAGCAGGAGGAGCTGGAGAGAAGGCGGCGCCTGGAAGAGCAAAGAAAACAAGACTTTCCTGCACTGCTGCTTCCTGAATACACAACTGGTAAGAGAGTGTACGCAAACACAAAAAAAACGGCCAACGTCAAGCCCTCGCCCTCATTACCAGCCAGTGACCAACACGCTGTTTTGTAAAGAACGTTTCCATTTTACGACATTCATACTCTTTTATTTTTCCATCTATTATTCATTCATTGACTTTTTGTTGCTCTTCTTCTTCACTTATCTACTGAATGGTCCCTACTCCCGCTCCAGGCGACTTTTCCCAGCATGTGCCATCATCCTCTGCATCACTGTCATCGCTAAGAGATGTGAAGCCGGCCAGACGGGACCTGATCTGTTTGGGCTCCAGCAGCACGACCATCAGCAAGAATGACAAGACTGACCTGCCCACCTCAGCTGCTACGGACACCATACCCACACGCAAAACAGGTGACACAAACACACACACACACCAATAAGGTGCCAATCACAGCAAGACAGTTCAAAATTACTTCAGTTAATTTTCACTTCTGCAATAACTGCAGCCCTTGTCTGGAAAAGATATCCTTAGTCAAATTTAATTTTTTTTATTTGTCAAATGCCACGGACATGAAAAACAGTCCAAAAATGCATGAATTAGAAGTAAAGGGAGATTAAAACAGAATCTTAAACACTCCACGTGTATAATGAAAAAAATACTTGCTGGTGTAAATTTTCAAGTGGAAAACAATCCCACAAACTATGTATTCCAATGGGTCTGATTATCATCTCCCCTTTTGTGGTTTTTCGATATACTTTTCCTGCCCACATAATTAATTCTTTTGTTTGAGGGATACTGTCATGTAAGAAGTAAACACCTAACTTCAGGCTCATTTTTTGTAAAAACTAATTTACTTTCCATGCGCTCAGTTAAGTGAAAAAGCAGATTTTCCAGAACTGGTATATATTTATCTCACACGGCATAGCTTGCAGACTTCTTTTAATAACATATGAAACTGTTATGTAAAGCTGCTGGACAGCGAGGCATACCGAAGGTGTTATTGACAGTCCCAATCAGCGGGTAGGGTGCGCTGAGAGCATTGGTGAGCATGCAAATTGCAGAATTATGCAATTACAAAACAACATTTTATTAACGAACAATGGCGACCTTGTGCATTGGTTTGTTTTGCTAAACCATGGTTAACCTAACACTTGATTACATCTAAGTCGTGGAGACTTCTTATCTCCAGTGGACCGGTCTGTCAGTGATTAAGCAAAGGTTCTTTAGCCTCTCCAAACCATGGCTTTATTACATTACACACCCTGTTTCAGACTGCTTGTCACATTAAAGGACTGCTCCGATGCCACAGCAGATTTTTAGGGCTGATATCCATTTCAAACTTCACAGCGGAGGAGACACAAGGGCTGGAGGCAGGAAGATGATTTGGAAACTTTGAGATCATTTGATACCACCCATAAAAAAAAAAGTTAATTCTTTCCAGAATGAACAGACTTTTGTGGAACATGTAAACTCAAATGCTTTGTCAGAATATACAGGGTTAAATATCTGCAGTCAAAATTCCCCTAACTTTCCCTCGAGTGTGTGTGTGCGACTGCTTTTAAAGGGGAGAGAGTATTTGTAGATTAGCTACCATGTGCATCAGAATATTTAAGACCTTCACAGGGTACATCACGTACTGTTCCCTTATTGCCCGAGTGCTGAAGCACACACACACATTCATGGCCACACATGCAGGAACCAACTCGGATACAAGAGTGAACACACACACACAGACACACAGTTGGGAATAAACACACAGATTTGAGTGCGAGGCTGAAGGCACACACACCTAGAGTGTAAATGATAAAACCGAGAAGAGACGCGGACCAATACATAAAGTGCTGTGGACGGCAAGCAAAAGAGAGAAAAACAAAGGTACATGAAAGGAGAGGGTGTCGGAGGGGCAGATGAGAGCGCGTCTGTCCGGTAATAAACCCGGCTAATCCTGGTTATGAGCCAGAGTGCACACCCGCACCACAGTGGCACAGTGACATTTCTAGTTGGGGTTGCATAACCAGTCTCCCCCTTCGTTCTAATCCTACTTGTATAACCAGCCATTCACTTCTGTTATATAAGCTCGCTCCCTCTTTTTCACACACACTGACATACTGACACACACACACACACACACTACCTCTTCACAGTGAGCCCTTGCAGGCTGCCAGCTTGTGTAACTCTCACCACTTGATACCCATGACGCTGAAGTCCCTTTTTAAAAAAATCAGATATGGTTTTGGTTGTTACACACACATCGATCCAAATAGTTTGAAATCAAAGTTTCGAAGCCAGTGAGAGTAAGGAGATTAAATGTTATGGGAGATGTTGTATTTTTGGTATTTACCATTTTAAACCCACTGTACTGCTGTCAACTGCACTGTCTTTATTCATACATTCCAGTCTGTTCACCTCGTTTTTGTTTTTAATCAGAATGTCATTAAGAAATAGGAAGGCTTCCTAATTACAGGAGCAGCTCAAATTGTAGCCATTCAAATTAGTGTTACTTTTGAAGAGTTATGCCCATGTTGGCCACAGGAGCAGTAAATATAAACAACTCCAAGACCTCTAATGGAATGTTCTCTGGCATTTCCTAAATGGGTATTTTTATCTCATTACGTCAGAGCCGCACAACAGCCCAACGTCCACATTCTGTGCAAAAATGATCATGTAAAGTTGAGCATTGTTTCATGGAAATTTGGATACTCAAGCACAGTTCCCTTCAGGCCAATGAACTTAAAAAATACTTAAAAGATGTAAGATTTTTTTTTTGGTTTGAAATGTTTTCGGTTCTTTCTTTTGTATAGACTTTGTCTTTGAGCAGAAATCTCGTGTTTGAGACTCACGCTGCCCTCCTGTACTCTCCTCCCTGCAGATGTCATAGATCTGAGCTCGAGTGAGGACGACGCCATCGTCCGCGTCTGCAGCGAGTCCACCAACGAGGAAGAAGAGGGCGAGCCGATCAGCGCCCATGTCAACGATATCCACAACCAGCCGGACGCACGGGGCAGGGTGCTGGTCAACGTCAACCACCCAGCGGCCGAGCAGGACGTCTTCCTGTCGCCCCAGCTGGCTCGAGCCGTTAAACCTCACCAGGTATCCCAACCAACGGGACCCTAAAACAGGCATTTTTTTACCCGCTGGCTTTCCCTTTGGACTTTTCTGTGTATTCATTACCTGCGTGCCGTTCTTCCTCCTCAGATCGGTGGAATACGTTTCTTGTACGACAACCTGGTGGAGTCCGTGGAGCGCTTCAGCAGCAGCACTGGTTTCGGCTGCATCCTCGCGCACAGCATGGGTCTGGGCAAAACGCTGCAGGTCATCTCCTTCATCGACGTGCTGTTCAGGCACACCCAGGCCCACACCGTGCTCGCCATCGTACCAGTAAGCAAGCACTGTGACTCATTAGAAGATATTGATATTGTTGGTGTTATTAAAGATAATTTAGGGATGAATATACAAAAGTTCTATAAAATTGCTATAAATTTTAAGTTATTTGCTGTTTAGTTACTTGTTTATAAGTAAGTATAAGTGTTTGATTCCAAATGAAAACGAGCTCTGCTCAGTTAACAGATCATTGATCTGCTGATTCCATTCCAGGTGAACACATTGCAGAACTGGCTGTCAGAGTTCAACATGTGGGTTCCGCCACGGGAGGCATTACCTCCAGATGCTGACCCTGCCGTAGTGACACCCCGCACATTCAAGGTTCACATCCTCAACGACGAGCACAAGTAAGTGGCAGGAGGTTAAATCTGTGATAAAACGGCCCTCCTTTTAAAGGGCTAAAGACATCCATAACATCTCCCTTCGGACATGACAACAGATTGCTTTTAAGAGACCAAAGCCCCCCTGTGGTCGGCCTCTGTGCCTAATCCCACTCCTGCTAATCCCTTTGTAGTTTCTTCTTAAATAAAAGCTGCTTCTGCTTGGAGCATATTCTGTGCTTCAGGTCACTTCTTAACTGGTGCTGAAAGAATGAGTCTCTCAGGTTCTGATTCACTGATTTGCACAATGTGCACAGGAGTTTTCCAGAATAAATAATGACTGCATTTTTAACTCTTTTCTGCTGCCCAGGAACACGGCAACAAGGGCCAGGGTGGTGGAGAACTGGGCACAGGACGGCGGGGTGCTCCTCATGGGCTACGAGATGTACCGCCTCCTGTCTCTGAAGAAGAGTTTCGTGGCTGGAAGGAAGAAAAAGAGCAAGAAAACCGCAGGACCCGATGTCATTGACCTGGATGAAGAAGACCGACAGCAGGAGCTCCTGAAAGGTCGGTGAGATCAGTGAACATAAGGGGAGAAAAAATAGAAAAAAGGAGTGAAGCAGAGGTTAAAGAAAGCTAAAAGCCAATTACATTTCTGCAGGTGTCGAGAAAGCCTTGGCACACCCCGGCCCCGATGTTGTGATCTGTGATGAAGGACATCGCATCAAGAACTGTCACGCCAGCACGTCTCAGGCTCTGAAGAGCATCCAAACCCGGCGCCGCGTGGTGCTGACCGGCTATCCGCTCCAGAACAACCTGATCGAGTACTGGTGCATGGTGGACTTTGTCCGTCCCGACTTCCTAGGTATGGGAGATGTTTTTTACTCCTCCCAACTCAGTCGTTACGGATCGTAGCATTTGTAGATCTCGCTGATAAACAATCCCTTTTTTTAAACTCACTTTTCAGGTACGCGGCAGGAGTTCAGTAACATGTTTGAGCGCCCCATTCTGAACGGGCAGTGCGTGGACAGCACACCTCAGGACATTCAGCTGATGCGGTACAGGAGCCACGTCCTCCATAGCCTTCTGGAAGGCTTTGTGCAGAGGTAGGGGTCCGCGTCTGTGTCCCTGTTTGACATAAAACCCTGTCTCAAAGCAGCGGCGTGCCGCTCTTTAATATTTTATGGGGTTTTGCACACACTAACCTGCAACTTAACTTCAATCCAGGCGAGGTCATGATGTCCTGAGAGACCAGCTGCCCTCAAAGGAGGAGCATGTGATCCTCGTGCGTCTTTCTCCCCTCCAGAGGGCGCTCTACACAGAGTTCATGAACCGTTTCAGAGAGGCAGGAAACACCGGCTGGCTCAGCCTCAACCCCCTGAAGGCCTTTTGTGTTTGCTGCAAGGTGAGAGTCGAGCTCATGTGTCCAAAACTCAGCCTGATCATTCCTCAGTTTCATTACTCTTTATGGTTTTCATTTTATTAAAAACTAACGGCCCATTCCTCTTTAGATCTGGAACCACCCAGATGTGCTGTATGAGGCCTTGCAAAAGGAAACTCTTGCGAGCGAACAGGACTTGGACCTTGATGACATCACTTCCACAGGACAAGCCCGATGTCCCCCTGCACCCAATCAGAAGTCAAAGAACCTGGATAATCCAAACCCCGTCGGCGGGCTGAGTCTTTCCCAGCTGCAGGAGAAAGCCAATCAGGTCATCACGTATGAATGGGTATGTGCTGGTTTGTTATGGGATTTTGCTTCCACATGTAGCCGTCCTCACCAAGTCCTCTGCTCCTTCACCCAGTAAGAGGTTTGATCAGTGTTTCTTCTCACAAAACCAGGCAAGGGACATCATGTGTGACTACAAGCCCGGCCTGCTGGAGAACTCGGCAAAGATGGTCCTGCTGTTCCATCTCATAGAGGAGAGCGTCAGAAAGGGAGACAAAATCCTCGTGTTTAGGTAAAATCAAACAAAACACAGACCAAAAAGAACTCTTTCCCCTCCAGTTTTAACGGGCTATTTTAATTGAGTCCAAAGGAGTGTGTTTGATTGAAATGAAAGGGATGACAACATGAGATCAAATTCCCTATTGTGCTCATATCTGCAGTCAAAGTTTATCCACACTGACGGTGATTGAGGATTTCTTGGGCAAGAGACCCGTCCCCGCCTCCCCGCACACCCCCATCAAAGACGGTCCGAACCAGAACTGGGTCCGCAATCTCAACTACTACAGTGAGCCATCATTTCTTTATGGTTTAAATAAGATTCAATATAGATTAGATTTTTCAAGTATTGATTTTCTTGTTCAAGGATTCAGTAAATGTGAATATCCTAAATGTCTAAAAAATAGTTTGCCTTATGAAATCCGCTAGTGACAGGACAGTTGGTTTAAGCACGTAAACTGGTGACTCATGAGTCAAATTACATGTGACTCAAAGGGAAATGGCACGATGTTCTGAACATTTTGCACAGAATGTACTGGAGAGGGACAGTTTGTTTACGGTGTGCTAATTTAAACGGCCGTCCACAGTTTACTGATTATATCTGTCCGATCCATTTGGGGAAAGAATTTGTTTCTCTCTGCGTTGACCCGGCTCTTTGCTGGTCCGGTGTTTATTAGTGACTTTTACTCAGGCCTGCCACCTGCTGGTTGTTTCTCATAAAAGTCAAATGCACATGCTGTGATGTGGATAAGACATCTGACCTGAATGCACTGACGTGTAGTTACTTCTATTTGGCTGAGAGCAAAGTCGTTAAAAGAAGAGTTGAGCAGAAACATATGATCTAAACCTTGTTGAAACTTTCCTAATTAATAAACTCCCCCTTTAACTTTGTTAAATTGGAGAATGAAACGATTGCAAAGGTTCAATTATAAAAACAAAGCTTCCACAATTGTCAAATGGGTGATTGATTGAATAACCAAAGACAAACCTATTAAATGAAAAAAAGTTAATTTAGCACAGCGTGAATTGAGAAAACAATGTTGATTAACAGAGTAAACTAATGTGGTAAACTCTATTGGCATCTTTCAAAGGACTGGATGGAAGCACAACAGCCTCAGAGAGAGAAAGACTGATAAACCAGTTCAATGATCCCTCCAACACATCAGCGTGGGTTTTCCTGCTCTCCACCAGGTACCACACACACATCAATGATATGCATGTGTGCAAATGGACAAAAAAACAGGCTTGAATTAACTCTGGACTTCTCTGGGCCTTCAGGGCTGGTTGTCTGGGTGTCAACCTGATCGGGGCGAACCGCGTGGTGGTGTTCGACGCCTCCTGGAATCCCTGCCATGACGCTCAGGCCGTGTGCCGCGTCTACCGCTATGGCCAGAGAAAGCCCTGTCACATCTACAGACTGGTGTGCGACTTCACCCTCGAGAAGAAGATCTACGACCGCCAGATATCCAAACAGGGAATGTCTGGTGAGTTAGTTGGAGAGATTCTTTTAAACAAAACACGTCACCTTTGATAGCTCATTCTCTAATCTCTCATCCTGCTTCCCTTCTTGCATCAGATCGTGTGGTGGACGATCTGAACCCTGTGCTGACCTTCACCAGGAGGGAAGTGGAATCCCTCCTTCACTTTGTGGAGGAGGAACCAGACCCTTCCCAGGTCCAGCTGCAGCCTGAGGATGGCATGGAGATTGTCCTGCAGAAGGCTCTGCACCTTTACTCTCGCCTGATTACCAAGGTAGGTGAACAGAGGAGACTTGGGCCCAATCCTTAGAACTCTTATATGACCCATCCTTCATCTTTTGGGATGGTGATAAAGAAGTAATCATCTAGTTGCGACTCCTGCTCTCTCCCAATCTGATCTCCACCCCCTTTTTTTCAAAAAGGAAAACATTTGACATAAATCAAGACTCAACAAGTCATAAGTGGTTGTCAAAATATGGTGCAATATTCTTAGATTTTCAGGAAATGTGTTGGGTAGACAAGCAGAGTTCAAGACATTGAAGGTGTCATTGTGTGCCCCTTCCTCTGAAATGGAAAGAATGAACATATTTCATCACAGAGAATACAGCTTTTATTGGCTCTCTCCCTCTTGCAGCAACCCTTCCCCCATGAGTCCCTTCTGATAGACCGCAGGGAGCTGAAGCTGAGCAGCGCTGAAAAGAAAGCTGCTAAAAAGGGATACGAGGAGGAGAAGAGGGCCTCGGTGCCGTACACCCGCCCGTCCTACGCTCACTATTACCCCGCCAGTGACCAGAGCCTCACCAACATCCCCGCATTCAGCCAGAGAAACTGGTCAGTCACCTACACAGCTGGATACATTCTGCTTAAAATAACTCTAAAAAAAAATACAGTTTAGCCAACGCCATACAGTGTTGTCTTTGATCTAAACCTATTTTTAGAAAAATACCTGATAAATAAATGTCTGTTCAGGCGACCACCCACTCGCACTGAGGAGAAGCCGGTGGCCAGTGTCCGGCCAGTACAGTCCACTCCAGCTCCAACGATGCCCCGCCAGGTGCCTCCAGCTTCTGCCCCAGACCGGGATTCCTCCAGGTCCAGCCTAGGAGGGTTCCCTGTCAACTGCCTGCAGAAAGCCGGCGTGTTCGTACAGAAGATTGTCACCACTACTGGTGAGCATAATTAAGCATTTAAATAATACTTCATCTTCCTTTCTCTTGTATTCGCCAATTGAATTTTCCCTCTTTCTGTTAGTAATGAATAGTTTTGCTGACAACCTGTTTTTTTCCTCACAGATATAGTGATTCCAGGTGCCAACAGTTCAACCGATGTTCAGGCCAGGATCACTTCTGGGGAGAGCATCCATGTTATCAGGGGCACAAAAGGTACAAATAAAACCTGGTTTGGTGGCCAGTTGACTGGTTGCCCTAATTTATTACATAGGGAGAATTATCTGCCATTATTTACTTTTAATCTGAAACAGGATTTTTTAACCTTGTTAACTTAAACCTTTTGGTTTCTTTATGTTGGCTATGTAGGAACTTATATCAGGACATCTGATGGCCGAATCTTTGCTATTAGAGCGGCTAATAAGGCCAAATCCATGGAGGAGAGTACAACAGCGCCACCCAAAGGTAAGATGATTTCCTCTCACATGTACAGTTTTTACAAATGCACAACCCTTGAAATAAGTTCCTTGAAAGTACAGAAAAACTTACTGAAATTATTATATTTTAAGAATAAACATACCTGTGTGAATTATTTTTGCTCTCCTCATGCTAATATCAAATCCCTTGTTCCTTTCAGAGTCTCGTACCTCCCCTCAGGAGGTTTCAACCAATGGTTGCCTATCGACTGACAGGAAGCACGTGGCACCCTCCAAGGCTGTGCCCCGGCCCATTTCACCGGACGGCCCGGAGATCATCAGCGAGCTGCAGAGCTACACGGGCGTCCGAGGAGCTGACGCCGCAGCAGCCCCGGGCGGTCAGCCAGAGAGGGCAGCAGAAGGCAGCCTGAGCAAGCCCCCCTCCGGCAAACCGCTTCAGACCGGCGGCGGCAGCGGTTTCCCCGGTGGAAAAATGGGTCACTGCGATGCTCCTGTTCCAAACATAATCCAGCCCCACATGGAAGACACCGCTCAAGACTTGAGGATCGGCATTAAGCGCAAAGCCTCCCCCCTGTCCCTGGAAGAGCGGCCCAGTAAGCAGCCATCCGCCGGCAAGCTCTCCTCAGCTCCTCTGGCCTCACAAGGATTCTCCTTGTCGGGGGGCTACGGCATGCCCCCGATGGGCCTCAACCCCGCCATGCTGGGGGGGTCGCTGGGGCACCCGCTCTACATGGGGCCGGGCTCGCATTACTTCAAGTCGCCCCACGCTCAGCTGGCCGACCCCAGCTACATGTACCCTGATCTGTTTGGTCTGGGCGGAGTCCCGTCGTCCTCTCCGTCCCCTTCATCCACAGCAACCAGTGCTCCTGCCGTCTCATCTTCCTCATCATCATCGGCGGCATCGGCCACAGCCACCAGTTCACTTCCGGGAGCCCTGCCGCCGTTCATGCTGACCCCCAGCATGGCTGGCATGGCTGGGATGCTCCCGCCCAGTTTCCCCCTGTCATACAGCCCTTCCCTGGCCAGCCTTTACTCAGGGTCCATGCTCCCGGGTGGGCTGCCAGGTCCGGCGGCCACCCCCGGCCCAGCAGGGGCCAGCTTCTTGTCTCAGTACCCTCCGACTGCAGCCTCATCCTCATCCTCTTCCCCTTCCTCCTTCTCTCCCTCAGCGCGGTCCGATGGCCACCGGGCGCAGGTTTTAGTCAACGGCAGGGATGTTGGCAACGTTAGCAGCTCCGATGACGATGGTGATGTGATTGGGGTGAGGAGACAGTGAACGAATGTCTTTGGTTAGGGGGAGGGAGGGAATGGACTTGGAAAAGACAGTTAATGTGTGCAGGTGCTACCTGTACCGCCTTGAAGCAACAGTCTGAAAGATGTCCAAGCCTAAACTGGACACGGAGTGACAACTCTTAATATCAGAGGGGGGAAACAAGCAAAGGTGTTTTGACGGATTGAGCTCGGAGGAGATGAAAATCAGAGGACCTTGAGCTTCCGGGGTTTTTGTTCAATTTCGGCATTAAAACGCTCATCACTGGACTGAGTACTGCTGAGTGTGCGCCTGTAGTGAGCACAAACGGCCTCTAGTTGTACTGTCGATTTTAGAGATTCTAGCTCCGTGGCTTCGCTAAATGTGGACACTTGCTTTTAGCTATTATAAAAAGACAACATGGTTGTCGGGGGTGGGGGGTGGGGGGGGGGGGGTCATTGGACAACATGGTTCGTGAAACAAAGTAGCTGGTAGTACATTTTGTTTAATGACTGACATAATAGTGTCATAGTGAATATTGCTACTGAGTATTTCCTAGAATGGCAAAAGAAAGGGTTAAAAGATCAAACAGAAGCATTGGAGAGCATTTTGATTCATCTTAATAATTCACTGCCAGGACAGCGGGGTAATGCAGCCTTTAGTTCTTGAAGGAAAATAAAAAGATAATTGTTCCAGATGTATTTGTGGCTTTGAGGCTTGGTGAGAGCGAGGGCAAGACACATTTTACTGAAACTTTAAAACTCAAATGAAAGAATGTATGTTTAATCAAATGCCTTTTTACCAGGCCTTTTTGGAAAGACTCCTTCTACTTAGGCATGGGACGTGGGAAGATGTAATTTTTCTGTTTTTGTATGTGTACTGTATTTTTATGTATTCTACTTTTTAAAGAAAACAATTGCCTAAAAACAGCCAGGTGAAAAATAAGGAGAAAAAAAATCACAAAAAAGACAAACAAACTCGTGAGTTATGCTCCTTGTAGCGGAGAAACAACCAACAGAAAATGCCTTTTTGCCTCCATCTTTCTGAATGTTAGCTGTGAGAGAGGAGAGGTAAGGAGAGACAGAGTCCCCGCGGCTCTCTGGATCTCGCCCACAGTCTTACTGTAGCCTAGTGAAAAACGATGCAAAACACTCACTCAAGCCTATACGTATTCGTACAACCCCCAAACTGAGCTCGCCACCCCGACTTCTGGTTCTGCGCGAGTCGCTACCGTCTATATACTTGTGTGTTTCGTGTTTAAAGGTTACAAAAGGAATCATTTCTGGAAAAAAAATCAACAAAAACCTGTTGTTTTGAGAGATTTCACCTTCCCTCTGCTTTCTTTTATTTTTTTCGTCGTCTCTCATCTCGTCCGACAGACTGAGGTCAATGTAAAACCAAACTTTTACTTTTTTTTTTCTAGTTTGAAGAGACGGTGTTGCTTTGCCAAAAAACAAGGAAGTGCACAAGCACATCATAAGCCTCCGTAAAAGAGGATCGTGTCTTAAGAGACCAAATAATGTTGTCAAAGCAGAGCAGTTTGAAATCTGCCGCCTCAGCATCCTAACAGCTTCAGAACCACATATCCACGTCTACACATCACTGCACTGTAAAAGAGACACAAATCTGTATGGGTTTGAAGAAAACCCAGAAAAAAAACAACTGGAGAAGCTTCATCTTGTGACCAGATTTCCTTTTATATTAACCTTAAATCACCATTCTGCTCACACAAGAGCGAAATACACTCTGTTTACTCTCCTTAGTGACAGCAGCAGGAGCTTTAAGCATCTCGGGCTCTTTAGTTAAGAATCCATCTGAAAACCATCAAGCAACGTCTGCAGCATTTCTTGTTGTTCTTCCACAGATCTGTTCTTCATACAAAAACTGTTAAGTCGACTCATGTTTTTGGTTTTTGCTCTCTTCATTTTACAATGTTTGAATTTACCAAATTAACTTATTTATGACGGTGCATATTTATTCATTTGTATTTTTATTTTTGTACAATGTCTTTTTTTGGTTTCCATTTGTTTCTTCACTATCTTGTCGAAATTATTTTTTATGTTTATGTTAGTATTGTTCCTTACCTTTTTTCTGTTTTATTTTGACTTTTTTTTTTTTTTTTTTTTTTGACTTTTTTTTTTTTGGAAGACCTGACGATCAGCCAGTCTCACCCAACACATGTGAACCTGTGCAGAACTTGCATGTGGACCAACCGATTAGTGTGTTGTTGAGCACATTAATATCCAGGATCTTTAAGAAGGATAGAGGACATACTGTGTCTGTTCTTCACAATAACAAACAGTTAAAAAAACAAAACAAGGGACACGTTGACATTCTGACACACAGAGCTGTGTGGAAAGCATTTTAGTTATTGATGGGAGATATCTCAGATAAATGGGATAATCTGAATATTATGAGCCATACGTGTGCATGTTGGCTCATTAACAAGTACTGGATCGTAAACTGGGGCGGTTTAACCACTCACCAATGAAAAGAAGGTTATATCAAGTGCTTTCCTTTTCTTTTCAGCAGTTCATTACCATATCAGCAGAATTGTCCTCTTGTGTCATCCACTGATGGCAAAATGAGTTTCCTCTATATTGAATTGTTCGACTCTCAGCTCGGCACTCGCTGTGCAGACTGACTGCTCTTTAGTTTCACAGCTTTCTACTTGAATTTACATATTTATTTATACAAACCGATTTGGTCGGATGAGCCGAGCCGACTGTTTGAATTCCTTTTTTTGCCGAAGAGATGATTAAGTCTGCTGTCTGAGGATTGGCTCTATTCAAAATCTGTTGTGTAGATTATTGATGCATAATGTTTATGACTTTGGATCACTTTTAAGATTATTTTTTTTCTTTTTTTGGGGTTGTTTTTTTGAAGTTTGTAAATAAAAGAAACATGCTCTAAATCATACTTTTTTGCTTTTTCTTTAGTAGTAGATGATAAGAGTACATAATCCCCTTTTGTTCTCACACAGACACATGATGTGGACAACTGACTAATGCTTCTAAGAGAATGTATTTACTTGGAAGTCTTTTTTCAACATTGCTTACACACACTAACAGCCCTCCCTGATATTTCTGGGCTGACCCCTGACCTCTGGTTCCTGAAACAGCTGGAACCAGGGCATCTATCCAGCTTTGGGCCCAAATGAAATGGGCCAAAGGAATATATTTGGGATGTTTTTAAACATCCGAAACATTAATTAAATACATCTTTCAGTCATGTAAGATGTGAAGAATAAAAACTGTGATGCCAATTTGGATAGCAGGCATGTCTTTGATATTAATACAGCTGATGTCTTTAATAATAAACAACATACAACTGAGGACCACCACTAAATACATGCATACAACGCTGAATGTACAGCTAAGCTTGCCTAAAGAAAATGGATATTTTGCTTGTTTATCATTAGTTTATGAAAACTGTTTTAGGCCCTTTTAAAAGGAAAAAGTATCTCCCAACAGCAGGAAAAGAAATGAGCTTTGAATCTGAGTAACTCTGAGGTCTTTGTTAGTAATTGAATAGAAATAGTTAGTAATTTTATTGTTTTCCAATAAGATAAACATGGTCACACAAGTAACCATATCTTTTCAGTTAAAAAATAAATAATATTTAAAGATGCTTAAACTGAAATGAATCATGAAATGAACCACGTGGTTATTTTTACACTGGTGACTCCATCAGCCTAGAATAACTTACCGTTTTGAATCTTTTAGATTTTATTGTACACTTTTATATCTGTGAGTGCCTCTACTTTAATTACTTCTGACATATTTGTTGACTTTATTTTCAACAGTGGGGCTGAACTCTGTTTTCACATATTCTGCTTTGTCTTACTTTGTTTTTATGTTACATCACATTGGTGTAACTGTCTACAAAACAAGGAACCTTCTTTCATTTAAAGAACTTTTGATTGTCAAACTGAAAGCCTTAAAAGCCATCCAAGGGGCAGAAGCCAAATTATTTGCCCCACATTTATTTTTGCACATAGTGGGGTTTTTTGGCTTGTTTAACAGCATAATTTAGTTGGCTGCAACCACGAAACAGGGCACAATAATGGTCCTGTATAACAACCAGTGAGAGAAATTTGAATGATTAAAGGGAATATGTTGTTTAATTGAAAGCATGCTGAACACACTAATGAGCATAGTTTTTTTACAAATCTACAACAGTAGAAATTGCTCACCAGACAAAAACGCATGGTTATTTAAATGTACTACCAGATAAACAAATTGATTCTGCAGAGCCAACATTTATGAAAATTTAGACTTTCAAATGGAAGTCTCAATGCATGTTATGGTGGGGGCCAGATGTAAGTTTCTTTTTTGGGTGGGAATAATGGTGTGTGCTTGTGCTAAATGTTGGGCTGAACATCAATAGCGAAAACGTTTTTCACTCTCTGTCTCTGTTCAGTGATGCATGAGAGACTTTCATTCTGTTTGAAACTCTGGGTGAGTGTTGGTGTTCAGTCTGTTTTCTGTCCATGTTTTCCGTTACATTGTTGAAAACTGTTTGAATGTGGTTTGTCTCTGTTAATGTTATGTAACTTTTGATTGTTCAGAATAAAATGAATGCATCTGTGATATTTGTGTCTTTGAGAGAGTGTTATTTATCTATAAATACACATTACTGGTTCATTACTGGTAATGACTGGTTTATTACTTTCATAAAAATTCTAAAGGGGGTGTTAAAATTTCAAAGTGATGACACTATTTTCAAGAAAGGACACTGACACATCATTACTACATTATCACTATAGTAATGATAAATAAAAACAACTTTTTTTTTACTTACTTATTAATGGCCGTCTTGATGGACCATAGGTTTAAATGAGGCAAACATTTATCATCAGATAGTTGACTGCTGAAATGTTTAAGCTCTAACAGTGAGAGGTCTCCAGTATAGTATGTAGCAATAGTATAACTGGCATTCATAGGAATAATTTTTCTTAAAAACCAAAGATGAATGCGGTCCAACGTCATCATTGGGTCTGGTCTTCGCAAGTACATCTCGCCACAGCGTCGGTTGGATATATACAAATACAAACATTGACAAAAACTTTTTCTGTGCATGTACAGTTTTAAAAAATATAAATTATTATTATCTATGACAATAAGCTGTCTCGGCCGGGCGCAACATAGTCCCGCCCCGGTAGCCCCGGCCCCGGTAGCTCCGTACCGGTAGCCCCATACCGGTAGCCCCCTACCGGCCCCCGGTAGGTAGGTCCGGGCCTCCCGGCCCCGGTAGCCCCCCTCCGGCCCCCGGTACCGTCCCCGGACTTGGATGGGCGGAGTTGGATTTCCAACCGACGCTGCAGCCGGTTGCACCGACGCTTCGGTCTTCGGCGGCCAACCTCTTTCTCAGCATGTGTTCAAGGCGTTTTGAGTAAGAACTCAATTTCCCGGCGTGCTCTGCTTCAAGTAGTTACGTCACGTCTTTTTCACTATGGCCGATGACGCTGGCAGACAGCGCAAGTCTGTTAGCGGAGTGGTGTTGCCTGGGAGGAGAAGTGCCTGCTAAGATAATACTATTTCCTGAAGCTAACGCTTTTCAAACAGATACGAGAAGATCAAAATGATTTACTGAAGATGAGGTAGAAGAAAACTTTTGAACAGAATGCAAAGGAGCGCGTTTCCCGGAGGTCTCGAACATTTATCAAACATTTGAGGGCCTGTTGCTACGGGAAATCCTCGGGCTAGCCCGGTAGTAACCGGGACGAGGAAACGCAGAGGACCTAGCAAGGATTGGAGCAACATAGGTTGGTGTTTTCGACCAGGTTTTACTGACACCAACCACTTTTGATTATATTCAGACGGAAGAAGTAATATTTACCGCTCCTCTTTGGCGATTATAACTCAACGTTACTAAAGACGTTTTTAGTTTGACAGCTAGCCAGCCTTAGCTTCCCGTGTTTACAAGCTAGCTCAGACAGGATGCCCTGAAGGAGTTGGCATCGTGTAGTATTTGTTTCAGTTAAGAGCTGCATAGAAAGTTCCCGAGGCCTGCCAGTTAGGACAGTTGATAGTTGTATGTTCGTCATACTTATATCTACTGCCACTGAAGGTCGCTAGCTAAATTGCTAAATCAAAATAACCCCGAGCTGAGGTTATCGCTCACTAGAGATTTATCTATTATAGCTCAAAGTTTGTACTAATCATCTTAGTTGTTTGTTTTATTATCTTAGCCATTTTGTTTGTCTGAAAAGGTGTGGTGTAAGGCTTCATCTCACTAAATAGATTTCAATCAAAAGGCTAACAGACTTGAAGAGAAGGAACTGACCCTTTTGGATTTGATTACCAAAGCTACTTTTATCCAGTTTGCTGACAATCCCGGATGAAGGCTCACAGAAAATTGTGGATTTTGATGTTTGGACCCTCGGGTGTCTCCTGTTTTGTTTGGCATAATTAAAACCCCCAGGCAAAGACTGATCTGCTCGAGGAAGACCCTTTTCTTCACAGACCACCATGAATCGTTACCTGCCTGTGGCTCGGCAGCACTTCCTCGCCGCCCTTGCAAGCACCAGTGTGGTGGTAAAGAGCATAAGTGCTGTTGTTGTGCTCCTCTACCTGCTGTCATGGGCTGTTGACACTCAATATGCTCTGGGGGTCACTCCGGGCTACCTCTTTCCGCCTAACTTCTGGGTGTGGACGCTGGCGACCCATGGGGTGGTGGAACAGCATGTTTGGGGTGTGGCGGCCAGTGTGGGGACAGTCATGGCCTGCGGACGCTTACTGGAGCCTTTGTGGGGTGCTCTGGAGCTCCTCATCTTTTTTGCAGTGGTCAATGTGTCTGCAGGACTCCTGGCAGGTCTTTCCTACCTCCTCACCTATGTGGCCACCTTTGACCTGGACTTCCTGTTTGAAGTCCGTGTACACGGCGCAGCCGGTTTTCTGGGAGGTGTCCTGGTGGCACTAAAACAGACCATGGGAGATACCACAGTGCTCAGAGTGCCACAGGTGAGGCTGACACATTATGCAAAATCTATGTAATCATCAAAAGTATTTTATTAGCAGGTATTCTGTTTGAGAATGAATGATAGAAGACAAGCGGAGAAGGCGAAATTTAACAAGTGGTTATGGAAATCTATCTTACCTACTGAAACGTGCAATATAATCTTTCACATAATATTATCAGCACATAATTAGGTTTGTCCAATGAAATTTTTTTTAAACGAACTTACTCACAGTAGAAAATAATTAGCTTTAATTTGGTTTCTGTTTAGATTAAAGCCACATTACATAATTGATGTCAACAAAGATAGATTTTGCCTTGTCATTAATTTAATTGATAATTAATAATAAAAACATATACAAAATAATCTCCATCTGTCCATATGCTGACACAATAGGGTAAAGGACATTCATTTTGTCTGAGTTAGAGATATTGTCAGTCATAATTTAATTTTAATGTCACTTAAGGTTGTTGTATTTCAGGTGGTTGACCTGTTGTGTTTCGTTTGAATGACTGCAGTTCTCCAATATAGAAAATAATCGTGCATCAGTGTTTATACTGATACTTTCTTATCTGTTCACAAACTATTGTTCCAACACCCATTCATGGGTTTTTAGTCATTCTATTTAATAAAGTCTACTAAGTTTAGTCCTTCTATGCCTTTCATGCACACCATTTTTTCTTCAATGTCTTCATTATCAAAGCACACAACACCTAACGTCTCTCTGCTTCCTCCATTCCAGGTGAGGCTCAAAGCGGCGCCGGCTCTGGTCCTCCTCCTCTTGGCATTGCTGCGCCTGTCCGGGCTGCTCGACAGCTCTGCGCCCCTGGCTGCCTACAGTTATGGCACCCTGTCCGGCTGGGTGTACCTGCGCTTCTATCAGAGGCACAGCCGGGGCCGCGGGGACATGTCGGACCACTTTGCCTTTGCCAGTTTCTTCCCTGAGGCCGTGCAGCCAGCGGTGGGCCTGCTGGCGGGGCTCGTTCACTCTGCTCTGGTAAAAATGAAGGTGTGCAGGAAGATGGTGAAGCGATATGATGTTGGAGCGCCCTCTTCCATCACCATCAGCCTGCCGGGGACGGACCCACAGGACGCTGAGAGGAGGAGGTGAGTCAGACCTCTGGTGCTCTTTTATAAAACATTTTGCTGCAACTATAATGGAGGTGAAAGCACTCAGCATCAATGAATATTGAAAATAATTATTAAAGGTTGTTGTTTTGTTCTTTTGATGTAACAGCTGACAAATTTTCTATCTACAGATAATACTTTAAAGCCAATCCGTTTCTTGTTTTTTTTCTAACCCATTGGATTTTCACATAATTTCAGTTATTTTCTAAAATAACGATCTGTCACTAGAGGAAAGGGGCTAGCTGCTGAAATAAAATCTCCAGGTTAGCTGAGCTCTTTTTAAGCCATCCTGTCGTTTGATTTCTCTCATTCACTCTCTTAACTAACACCTACTGTCAAGCTGTCATAGATAATTATTCCTCTTTTCCCATTGTCTGCCAAACAACCCCCCAAGGTGTCATACGGATTTAGTTACAAACAGATGTTAGTTGTCAAACACAACCAAACAGAAAAGGTGGAGGGGTCATTTTACCTTTAAAGATGAAGTTACTGAACTTAACACGTTAAAAAGTATTTTGGATTTTATCTGATACCTACATACGTTGTTTTCTGAACATATTTCTAAAATAATGCGTAACACGCTGTTGTAGGTGATTAAAAAGCACAAGCCTCCCAGTTGTTAAAAAACTGTCTTAAAACATTTTGACATCATGTAATTAAGATTACATTTCATTCTGTAAAAGAGCTTGTCTTTGTGGCAGACTGCATTACTGTTGATTGTCTGTTTTTTGTTTCCTCCAGCGCGTAAGCTAAGCTCTTGATTAATGCCTGATTATGATGAGACTTAGAGGCCTGGCAACTTTTTAATCTGGAAAAAAAACTGATGATGATGTAAAAAGTTTTTTTTTTTTTTTCCATTTGAACGATTGGATATTTAATCGGCAAATTTGAAAAGTAAACAATCATTTCATCAGATATGCGTGCTGTTTTCTGGGGTTGCCAGCAGTAAAATCCAGCATTAGAATAATCTAACTCTAATGCTGGCTTTCACAAAGTGGGACGTTGTTCTTCAAGGATTTATCAGTGCTCATTTTGTAACTCCATATAATTATATAAGCCAAAAGATTTAACAGTTGAAGTTTGGGTGACTAGTTCAGATGACTTAAAAAACAACAACTTTTTAATAGACAGTAGCAAAGAATTGGACCACTATAATTGAATACAACATATAATCAACAATGCATGCAAAGATGTTGTGAAATGTCGTATTTATTTAAAAAACATAGTAATTTCATCTAGTGAAGCTATTCTGTCAATAGAATTTTTTTTTTCTGCAAGAAAACGAGAGTAGAACCCTCATTTCAGTAATGTAAAGGTCTTGTCGGTTGTCCACTGGCTTAAATACGAAACTTCCATCCTCAAACTACATCTTTTTGGATGAACTTCTTTGAAGTCCACATTTTTGGTTTCTACAATATGATTTCAGGAAAATAATTGGATAAATCGATGTACATGGTGTTCATGAGCAGGGTTCACACAGGTTGTTATAGCATTGCTTTTAAATCCCTCTACAGCAGGGAGCCAAAGAGCCATAAATAATGATCCCATTCTCAAATGTTCCTTTAATTATGCTGATAAAGATACATCTGCATGAGAGTAGGCTACCCCCTCATAACGACGAATCCTTCTATTTGCCCCCCTCCACCCAGGCAAATAGCCCTAAAGGCTCTGAACGAGCGTCTGAAGCGGGTGGAGGACCAGTCTGCCTGGCCCAGCATGGACGATGAGGAAGACGACGACGAAGACGAGGTGAGAACCGACACGCAGCCGCTCCTCTCGGATGGGCGGGACCTCTCGACCTCGACCAAAACAGCCGGAGGACCCGCCGGCGCGTCCCTCTCCTCCACCTCCTCCTCTTCGATATCGCAGATCGGCGGCGCTGCCCCCTCAGGCGCCGTGCAGCACCCAGAGTCAAGTATTATCAGCTTTGAGGACGCAGCATCGAGATCATAACAGACGGAGCGCTCGTGTAAAAAAAGACAAAGTCTGTCTGGTGTCACTGGCGAGTTTACGAGTGGATGCTGTGTCCCTGACGTACGTATCCGGTTCTACACTCAGTATCCCACACAACACACCACATCTGTGGCGAGTCCCCGCACCCGGCCGTGCGCTCACAAACACTTTGTTAATATTACTCGTGAACGCCAAAGGACTGTGCGGTGCTTTAGGTTCAGACCCGCCGGCTGTAAATGTTCAGCGCTGCTGGGTGAACTGGAACTGAATCCTTCCCTCTTTTCCGCAAACAACCGACAGCCAGAAAATCCTGTCCTGTTCGCATTCAGTCCCAGCCTCCGAAACTATGATCACTGCTACACGCGTCTCCTCTTGCTTTCTGAATAAATGACTAAATGGGTGCACAAAGTTCCTCTTCATCTTTTTTGGTCCGTTAGTGAAATAGGTTCACGCCGAAATCCTGATTCTTAAAGAATCCCAGCTTTGAAAAGCAAAGAGAGGTGGCTGCTAGCAGCGGGAGTTGTTAATGGGTTCTAAATATCTGGCCGGCTGAAAAGCAGAAGTATGAAAAAAAGCATACTCTGCGCCAACTAGCTGGATGAGAAGAAACCAGCTGCTGCAGGTGTGTCCTGCTGCTGAACAGTGATACCAAACCTAAAGATTTGAAGTGCCACGGGAAAAGGATTACCCAGAAGACTCACCACTGAAACTACAAATGGAGAAATGAATTAAATGCCCATCTTTAGTTCATGCTCCTTAGCACGTCATTCGGTGGAAAACGTTTTTCTTTTTTTTAAACTGGGATTTGTAGTCTCTAAATGAAAACAGATAAACTCACTTTTCTTTCTGTAGGCTGGTGAGATATTTTAGTGGTGATTACACCTACACACAGTGGTGAACGGTTACCTTCTTTGATGGGTTGTGAATTGTTTTTAAGTGTTTGCTCATTTTCAGGTGGAATCCTGAGCTTCACCCTGCACCTTTTACACTTCCACTTTCTGAGATCTGGTTTTGTTTGAAAGACGTGCCGGCAGCGGCTGCTCGGTAGCCCCGATGCGAATGACCCAAATCTGAGACTGCGTCACTAGAGGTGTCGATGAAAGGTTTAAGAAATGGCATCGTTGGGCGTTTACAAACTGTATAGATTCATGGTTCATTAGTTGCAGTTGTAGAAATTTTGGCTTCATCCTCATTCAGATTTTAGACATGATGAATAATCCATTAATGGAGGACTCCTCTGTCGATTGGACTTCAGTTACAGGATGGCTTATATCATCCTCTGGACTTGTTCATATGTTTCATGCATGGAAATTGCTTGAACGAGTTTTCTGTGGTGGTCGATGGATGGCTAGCGTAATTCATCTACACAAACCTTAACTCCAGTGATTCATTCATTACAGCCACTGCTGAAAACGTGCTGTTTACTGTACCAGTGCCCTAATTTGATGGAAGTTTTCAGCTTCAGCCATTGTGATCACAGAACTCATGAACCGCTACAGCATTTGGAGAGTTAGGAACCCATGTTTGAAATGTTTCCAACCTAAATTAGAAATTTCACTCACTTAAATGAAGAAACAAATGCACAATGCAAATCTGTTCAACAAGGATGTCCATCTCAGATTCTGTCACACTCCTCTTGGAAAAATGTTGTTCCAGGTCTGATGAAATAAAGATTTGTAACTCCAGTTTATTAACTTTGGAGATTTTATTGGTTCCAACCTGTGGAATTTAGCGGGAATGAGCTAGACTCAATTCAAATGTTGGATATTTACTGGTTTACTTATCTACGACCGATTATGTTTGGGAGTCGGACTCGGATACTAAAATAATTCCAGGGGAGAATTCGTTTCTACAGTTTCCACCATCAGTTTAGAAATCTGAAAGCGGCTCTCTGACATGCAGCTGACAGATTGGATTTTTCTCAAAGAAATCATAACACAGGCTCATGTTTGGGACAGAAGAGCTGTGGAAATAATCTGTGATAGCCGTAAACATTGGCCTTTCACGAACAGTTGAAAGAGTTTTAGAAGTATGTAATGAATGGGAAGTGATAAGCCATATTTAAGAGTGATGAAACTGAATTGTGTCTGTTTTGTTTTTTCCCCCCCTGCTTGTTTTCTGCTGGTGGCAGCGTCTTTGAGAGTGGCCCTGAATTCACATGTCTGAAATCTTAAGCTGCATTCTGCCATCACAAACATTCACAGTAGCATTATGTGAACATAGTCTGAACTATTCTGTACATAACTGCCTACATTAGCTGTGCAATTACTGTTTTGATGTATGATGTTTCATACATTTTACAAGCAGGTTACAGTGACAACAGCTTTGCTTCCATCCCTCTGCCTGTGTTACGCAATTTTAAAAAATCCAATTCTGACAGTCTTGCCTGCAAATGACTGTCAGGTTGTGTAATGTGGTGACGTATCATTTTAGAAATTAAAATGATGCAGAACTGGTCTAGTTGGCAGTCTTGAGATCTCTGACTGAGTCTTGTTGAACTTTCAGAGCTACTTTTCCTTTTGAAATCCTTTTCTTTTTTCCATTCTCATTTGTTTTGGCTGCAATTCTAAAAAGAATCCAACAGCAAAGCTGTCACTTTCTGTCAAAATAGAATGACATTTGTGCTGTTTACAAGTGTTATTCTTATATATATATATATATATATATATACATACATATATATATATATATATACATAGTTGTGGCCAAAGAGCAAGCAAAATATCTGGTATCTGGTCAAAGTGACTAATAGAGACAAAGTTCCCAAATTCAAAAGCATCTCAAATTGAAATATGTTTGTTTTATATCTTAGAAATGCTTCTAATGTGCTTTTTCATTTAAAATTGTTAATGTTGGTGAAAAATGAGAACCTGAAAAAGTGAATTATTCCCACATATGAGAATAGACCCATCTGGTTTTAGAAAAACTATATTGATTAGAAGCCTATGTTCTCTTTTACACTACAGGAGTGTTTGTGGAGAAGCTGATGTCAGAGACCAGAATGTAGTAACATGTCAACACTGATTCGAAATATAATCAATCATCATGGTCGGATCATCAATACAAAGATAAACCTTTAATGCAGCTCTTTAATGCATTAATGATCAATGATCAAATTCAAAAGACGTCTTGTCAAACGAGCCTTCCCTTAAAAATATCATTCAGTTGGGGAAAAACATCCCAAAGCGTCCAAGCTTGGATTACTCGTGTGTGAAAGCTGTTTCCTGCTCTGAGTTGAAAGACAGATCAGACTGATCTGGTCAAATCTCTGGTCACTTTGTCGTTGAAGGTGGTCACGCTTTTTTTTATTTTATTTTTTTAGTTTTAACTAGCGATCTTGATTTCTCTCTTCTGTCTCCACTTTTGCACCAACTGATCTTGTTCACACTAATTACAGTCTTTCTGTACTGTGGCCGTTGCACAGGCTTTTGTTGAAGTTTTCAAATACATTTCTTTATTTCAATACAAAATAAAATCTGGTGGTAAACAGTTCCATTCTCGTTTGTATTTTTCTTGTAATGTTGGTGGTCTTGCTTTTTATCTGCTCCTCTGGGACTAGCCAGGAGGCTGTGAGCCTGGTGTGTCCTACTAAAATATTTATTCCTCGAATTTATTTATTTAAACTTGAAAATCATAGAGGTCAGGGGCTAACTTACCAGGCCACTGAGAAACATAAATTATTCACAATGCATAATATTAAACCACATGCGTGAGAAATAGATGCGATATTGAAATTGAATCATAAAAATTACGAAAATGACCTGATAAATTGTACAAGTTGTGAAATTAATTGCACAGAAAAACAAGGTGACATGGGATAGGAAAAATATCCTCAACCTAAATAGAAAACTGTAATATATAAAGAATTTTTAACTTATCTAAAAAGTGCATACATGCATTATATTAGGATAACACGCTGCACGTGTCTCAGATTCTAGGAATTGGCAAATTTTCATAAAAACTACATCCAGAATTTCTGAATCTGCCCCATTTTAACTTTGGCCCCAACTTTACAGTCCAGTATTTTAAGTACAGTGGTGATTACCTGACATGTAACTATTGATGACTAAGCTTGACTTTTAACGTTAATTTGCCCGAGAGGAAGCAATATGATATATATATAGGTGTGTGTGTGTGTGTGTGTGTGTGTGTGTGTGTGTGTATGTATAATTTACAAAAAGTCCAATGTTTCCTGTATTTGTGTTACTTTCAGCAGCCACCAGGTGGGGCCACATGCTAAGAATTCCTTCACACAGAGCTACAATTGGTCAAAAGCTCAATTAACTTTAGGCCTGACATTGTTGGTGCTTTTGGGGTCTTGAACATAAAATAACTGCATACTTAAATGGTGTAGTGCCTACTAAATGATAAAGTCGTCCCTCTGGGTAGGTTGGGGAGTTAAAAAAAAAAGAGTATGTGCATTATATGAGAACCAATCATTTTCTGAACTCCAAATTGATGAAAATACTCTGCAGTAACTTCCTTCTGTTTCCTGGTAATGGCTTAAGAAATGCCCCTTTAGATTTCCTGTTCCTGTAAAAAAAATAAAACTCCCCGTTGTAAATATATGTCTTCGTGTGCTATTAAAGTTTAATGTGGGCCAACTAAATTTTATTTTAGCCAATGCCACGCCTGAAAACAGACTGTTTCGCCGTAATGTACTTTCTTTACTGAAAACAAGTGCTCGCATCACTTCGTGCCCGCGCAGGCGTGGCTCTCTGGCTCGTGCCCGCCACCCCTCCCCCAGCCACAAACTACAAACCGAGGCTGCGCGCTCCCGTGAAGTAATTCATTGTATCAGATTGAGACGGGAGGAAGCAGCAAGCGCCTCGGCAGATCTGGAGACCAACTCACCTTCGAGAAACGCTGAAAATCCCGTTGCTCGGCACATAAACTGAAGGTAAAATACACGAATGAACACATAATTATCACGAGGCCTTACTTTGTTCGCGTTGTTTGGTTTAAAAGTTGAGAGAGGCATTTTTAAAGTTGTCCTGGGCTTTGAGAGGCCGGGCTACCGAAGAGCTAGCAAGGTTAGCTTACGCTAGCTAAGTACGCTTTTCCCCTAACCGACCTCAGTTTCAGCGCCTCTTCCGCAGTTGCCGCACAGTTGTGCCTAAACCTGTCATATGCGTTGTATAGATAGTCTTATGATTGAAACACCATACTGTATTGTGCCAGACCCAGTCGAGGGCTTTTGGTAAACTATTCAAACTTCGTAACTGGCCTAAATTCTGAGCCGTAACCAAACAATGAGGTTCTTTTCCTGACTTACCTCAGCTAATCAGGCGGCTTTCCATCGGCTCAGAATTTCCACTTGCATAGCTACTGGGGCGGTTATTTCCGCGTAGCTCGTTAAACGTTTTAACTGTAAAGGCAAAAAAAATGTCTGTGTTCTCTCTTTAAACGTTAGATGAATACGAATGCTCGTGTTATACATTTAAGTAGAAGGATAGCGCCTCGTTTCAACTTTGAATGGCATTTTCAGTTGGACGGATATTTACTGTACGATTTGAAGAGTTATACCATTTTGAGAGGTGGTTTGTATATTAATATGGTTGTGGCTCAATGTTTAGTTTGGATCTGGGCCACCCACCCATTCTTCCACTGCGGACACATTGGCCATCTGTTGCCTCTGTGATGACGCCATCTTTCTGCTGACCCACCCAGTGGCGAGCTGTTTAAAAGAAAAAAAACACAATGTTTGGTTTGACACTGGGAGCTTTTACAGGCAAGACTGGCTACTTTTTCTGTGCCTTGCATTCATTGGTTAGCAGAGAACACAAAACCGAAAGAGCTATGAGCAGTAAATGGTTCCCTACTTCCAACAGGGGACACATCCAAAATGACCATCATATGTTTGCTTTTTCTCAAACAGAAAAAAGGCAAAGTATATGCAAGGTACCCTATTGAGGAATGAAGAGATGGCAGCTGTAAAGGAGGAGCAGGCAGAAGATTTGCATGTCTATTTTCACTACATTTTTAGTTCTAGTATTTATTAAGATGTCAAACATCCTGGGTTGAAAATTGTGAAATGCATATTACAGGAATGAATACTTTTTAAAAATGTATATCTTGCATTAATTTCCCATTAATGCCTAATTCCTTGTAGAAAAGCTTCTTGATTAGCATACATTTCGTCACAGTGGAGCCACAACTCGTTTTGCTGTCAAATGAGAGGTCTCTTCCTCTCTTCAGCTCCACTAAAGAAGAGTTATGGTGAATCTGGACAAATGGCCAATTCCTACAATTTGTTCAAATAATTAGCCAATGATCAAGGCCTATGGATAATATGCTTTTGGTGATTAAAAAGGAGTTGACATGCGTAATATTAATTATATCATGTCTGATTCATCGTGGTAAAAAAATGGAACCAGTGTATTGAGACCAATAACCCTTTTTCCAGTATGTTGATTGTTTATTTACCCAAGAGGGGAAATGTTCCTTTGTAAGTAAACAAGAAATATTAATTAGTTATTTGCCATTTCAAAATGCCACTGCTGTGGGAAGCAATTAACACCAGCGCAGTTCTTTGTTGCAACAGAACTGAAGAAGCCACTGACTGAACACATCATCTTTCATCAGTGTGCCATGTTGAAAACATGTGGTTCTCTCCTTTGTGCTTAGCACTGTGTGAAACTTAGTCTTTGCACATTGACCCTAAGGGACTTTGGAGCTGTCCCAGCACAGAGTGTGAAACTGCTCTAAAAATATCATGTTAAGGTATGACATGACTACTGAATTTATTTTTATTTTTTTAAATACATTTTCATGGGATTGCACTGATATGACTCTTATTAGATTGAGTGCATGATTTCTATCTGGTAACTTTTCAAAATGGTTGTTTTAGTTTAGTATCTTTATGGCTTAGGTTGAACTTGTATTTTGTCATAAAAAAGGCAAATAGCTATACACATCAAAAAGCCCTTTTCCTCGTGTGACGATTTTGGTAGCAGGCCATTCTTTAAAATATTTTTTTATGTCTTCTCTTTGGTTAAACTTATGAGTTTAACCAAAACTATCTTAAGGTGTCCTCGTCCATGCGTCAGTACCGATGTTTGACTTGTGTAACCAAATGTCATTGTCTGTGGAGTACAAATATGGTAATGTTCATGTAAAGGATTTTTAAACTGCTTGACAAATCAGAAGACAAAGAAGTCTATTTCCTGCTTGACTGGTTACCTGCATATAAGGCTTTGAAAGATCAGATTTTCCTTTTGATTAAGAAAATCCATCATACACTGAGCGTGTTTGAGTGTGCACAAATCAGCTTTTTAAGGACCTCACATTTACAGACCCAAATGTGTTTGTCATCTGAATTCAGTTGAGAAAATTGCAGACATTGCATCTTTGGTTTGTGCCTAGGGAATCTGGCTTTTGAATATGTATTTAAACCTTTTCAGATGGCAATGTGCAGTTCTAAAGAATCTGTTCCTTGCACGAATGTTCTTTCTGATAGGTGGAATATTTCAGGCTGAATCGATCTTAAGATGGAGAGACGAGGGGCTGGGCAGTGACATGGCAGTCCACACACAGCGGCATCAACTTTTACAGATTCATAAGGAAGCTGTAACCACTTTTTATTAATCCATCGAAATTGTAATAATTAGCTGTTAAAGGCATCAACTGGTTTGCACCAGATGACCACTTCACATACACATTCTCACATCAAGGTTTTTAAACCTGTTCATGACTGAAGTCACTACCCATTAGAAAACGATGGACATTTTTTAAGTAACTTTCTAAAAAGGTCTAACATTAAAAAAACTTAATTTATAATTGTTGCACTTGCCAGTTTTGGGATTATACATTCTTACACAGTTTGAACATCTTAAGATGAAAATGTACCAACAAACTGTGACACAGGTGCAGTTCTGTTCACATAAGTATTCGGTTCATCTGGGTCAAAGCTCACAGTAACGTATTCAGCCCAAACGATGACCCTCAGAAGGGCACCTTCCAAGTTTGGATCTGAAGCTAAAATATTTATCAGTCTGCAGTCCGTGAACACGGTTAAGCAGGGAGTCATTTTCACCCTGAAAACTGCGTGGTGTATATCCTGCCATGTGCAAATGCAAGTGAAACTTAACGAAGGCCACGGTGGTGAATCATGTATTCAGCAGCAACATTGCAATGCGATGGCCCCTCAGTTTGGTTTTGTTTTTGAAAACTGGCTATGAAGTGACGGGAGTAGGTTTGACAAGCTTCACTTTTCCCAAGAGCATAAATTGTCTTTGGGACATCAGTTTAATTGATCATGCTTGTTCTATTAACACTTTGAGTTTGAAAGATTTCCACAAAAGATTTTCATGGATGGCAGCTCTGGTTTTTGGCTCACTACATTGAAAATATCAATTGGAAAGTTGGTGAAGTGTCAACATTGCTTGCTGCTGCGGGCACCTGTCGTCATTCAGTGTTTATCACAGCCGAGTTGGTGTGCTCCCTCCATCAAGCATTCTCTTGATCGTGTTAGTGTTATCTGTGTCTCTCCATGTTTGTCATTTGTCTCTTTGAATCTCATGTCACAGTAACATGGGGAGTAGGAGGGATTTGCACAGGTTTCTCCCTTCTTATTATCTGCTTGGATTATAATTCCTGCGCGGTGTCCATTTTAGCAGTGGTTGGATTACCAGCGCTGTCTTACTTAAACAAATTAAAGCAGAAAATTGCTGGTCACGTCCAAAGTGACATTCCTTAACGGCTACCACAACATGTAACATCACCCACATGAACCAGTTTTTGTCATTTAATTAACTATACAAAGTTTTTGATTATCTGAGCTATTGACGTGTGCAAAGGGGTAATTATGTTTACATAAACAGTCAAATGTGTTTTTCACACATCTGTCACAGACACAGAAATGTTGCAGTTTTTCTGATTTGCCTGGCCACATTTGCACCAGGCATCGTAACTACTGCCCCAGGACTTAAATCTGCTCTACCAAAATGCTTCTTGATAGCAAATGGAAAGATTAAGATTTTTTTCATAAATACCTGAATGAGACAGTTCTATTTCAGATTTGTATGTTATCTAGGATGTGTTGGTGGAAATCAGTGTCTTTTTTCTTGTTGTTGAGAGTAGTGAATCTATTTAAGTTGATCCTGAAAGGTTTCCCTTTGTCTCAAATTCCTAACCCTTATATGTTGTGCTTCATTATCCTAGTAATTTATTAGAATTATTGCTACCTATTGTGGTGTTCACTAATAAGCCCAGTAGGTTCATGGATTAATTGAAAGCTACAAAACCGCTTTTGTTTAAACAAGGCCACATATAAACGTTGACCCTTCAGTTATATTTTTCAAATATTGACCACACACCAACCTCCAGGCCACAGCTGTCCTCATTTTGCCTTTTCTTTTTAGCCAAGCAGGGAATGGTCTGATTTTAACACTGCTGTCCTACTTAAGAGTCTTTCCCCACCCTTTATAGGATGCTTGCAGCCCCTCTCAGTGCTTTTGTTCATCTCAGTCAGAACCTAATGGGGCTTTGGGCAGAAAAGGCTGTGTATCAGTCCTTTTTAACCCCAGGAGGCTATTAGGCTAGTAGTGTCTTTTATGAACTTGACTTTCAAATGTGAACTGGTTGTGCAGTGGTTTGCAGCAGGGTTTTTTTTTCCACGGGAACACAGTTCCCAGGAAAGTAGATCCAAATCTCTTGCAGCACTTGCAGGGGCAAGCTCTTAATCAGAGATGGGCCAAATGGGCTGCCGAAAGCTGAAATGAATAAGGCAGAATGTTGTTTTTAGTATCTGCTAAGGTCAGTCATGCACAAATAATTTCTAGTTCATTCATAGATGAACGAGACAGAAAACCAAAACACTCCCTTGGGGACAAAGTTTGAGGTTGAATGATGTGGATGTAGGCTGTTTTTAAATGAGATGTTTTCAGTGTTTTTGCCGGTTCTACCCCCAGTTCTGCTTAGCTTTGAATAATAACTGATGGTAACTAAAAAAATATCTGATTGACACTGCTCCACCTTCTCAGATGATATGTACACACTCACTAGCAATTTTTTTTAAGCTGCTTTCCTGATTTATTGTTTACCTAAAATTGTGTTTTATCAACAACTGTTTGGTATAGTTGGTTTTTCCATAAGTTATAGTCTAATAAATTAACTTTATGGGGAAAACAATTAATCAATTAATCTTTGATGCCAGTTTTCCCTAATGCTTTTCAAGTAGCCTTTGATAATAATCTGCATGTCACTTTTTTTTGGGCATTTCCCTTTGTTGGTAATCTCATTCTCACATCTGCACTGGGGCATCTTTGGCATTTCTTAGTGTGATGAATTACTGGAACCCTGACTCAGCGTGCTTCCTGCATGCATCGTGCTCTTTGTGTCTATGTGATCTAGTGAGCAGAAAGGACAGGAAGCTGCAGTGTAGTGACGGGTTCGGACATTTTTGGGACAGTACCACTGTTGTAGTCTGCCCGCGGATTAAGTGTCCATGTCTTGCACTCATTCACCATTTCACACACAGTTTCAATGTTGAACAAAAGTGATTCTTGCTCATTTCAGACCATCTGTGTAATTGATAGATATTGCCCTGGGCTGACAAGCTATCAAGGTTTAAAAGCATATGAAAACAACCTAAATGGATCTGTGCTTTTATCAGATTAATATTTTCCGACCCTGGAGCTCTTGGCCTCAGGTTGAAAAGGTGCTTTGCGGCGCTGTGGCTAATGTGTCAAGCCAGGCGTTGCATGGTGCATCTGCACTGTGCAGCCCTCCAACACTAAACGCCACAAACGGCTCTCATCATTTTTATCTGAATGTTTAAGATGGCCTCTCAGAGAGGTCGTGACAAACAGCCTTTCTTATACACCAGACAGTTGTGTTCCTTCCACTGGCCATAATCGTTTTTGTTTTTATGTCATGCTTTTCCTGAGGCTACTTGATCGTAACCCTTGTCTACCTCCTGCTTGTCCCCCTCCAGCGATGGCGGCCATCCGTAAGAAGCTGGTGATAGTGGGGGATGGAGCTTGTGGGAAGACGTGTCTTCTGATCGTCTTCAGCAAGGACCAGTTCCCCGAGGTCTACGTTCCCACCGTGTTCGAGAACTACGTTGCAGACATAGAGGTGGATGGCAAACAGGTGAGACGACGGCAGATATTAGTGCCACTACAATCAATCTTCACAGCTGTTTGATAAAGAGCGGCCGCTCTGCGTAGTTTGAGCTGTGGCCCCTCCTGGGTGGCTGCTGTGCTCTGTGAAAATGTGTGTGAGATATACATTTTTCCCTTTTTTCTTAGGGAGACTGATTTGAATGTGCTCTTTCCCAACTGTCACCATCCCTACATCTTTGTTTGTCTGACGTGGTCATTCCATTTGAATTGGGGCTAATTATGTTCCCTTGGTGCTGGAACCTGCTTGGCTTAGGTTTTTCCCTCCGACGCGTAACGACAGAATGCTTGCATATTTTCACTTCTTCCCTCAGTCATTTGCTAGTCTTTCTCCAGGCATTTTGTGTTCAGCTCAGCCATGGTGTCTTAGTGATTAAAAAAAAAAAAATGCATTATATAAATGGTATTCGTTGTCCTGCCACAGGGCTTTATTGATTTGATTTTGAAACGATCCGTGTCAATCCTCTGAGGTCACATTTGGGCAGACAGTATTAAAAAGGACTGTACTATTCAGGTCCATGACGTCCTGCTTGTGCTGCTTTCGTGATAAATTGGTGACCCAGCAGCGGTCAGCAGTCATAAACAAATTAGTCCTGACCTGCTTCTTGGTTAATGGGATTCTGGGACATGGAGTCTGTCGGGTGGTTGATTTCTTGCCCTGTGTCCTGCAGATGAGCACCAAGCTACTTAAGTGTCACATTTTCTGGTTTCTTTTTGCCGATTTAGAGAAGAGGGTGCAACACATACCCTGCTCTGTAGTAATGAGATTGATAAAAGGTCATTTGCTTAAGTTCTCATTAGGAATAAAAACCTTAGCTCATTTTAACACTTTTTTTAATGACTGATTTAATTATTTTCCTTCATTTCTTAAATAATTTTCTTTGTCTTCATCAGGTGGAGTTGGCTCTTTGGGACACAGCCGGTCAGGAGGACTACGACAGGCTGAGGCCTCTCTCCTATCCAGACACTGACGTTATCCTCATGTGCTTCTCCATAGACAGCCCCGACAGCTTGGGTGAGCACAGCCTGCACACGCTCTGCTCTTCTGCTGAGGCAAACAAACACCGCTTTCCTGCCTTTCCAGCACACTTCCCCGTTTCAGGGAGCTGTAGATTGTGAGCTCATCCTTATTAAGAGGAACTGCTTACATTGGCAAATTCACTTTAATCCAGAATTATGAGTCATTTGCTACAGTTGCATGTAGACCTACAGTAATACGTCTCATCATTTATAACCATCACGAACAGCACTGCCATGATTACACGAAGGTGGTTGCACTTCAGTTATGTTTTTAAAAGATGCAACTTTGTCACAAGAGTAAAATAAAGACTCGGCATTTTATGGTGCTTCTATGGTTCCTCCCGTTACATTTATGTTAGTAGCATTTAAAAGCTTTCAATGAATTTCACTGAAGATAAAAGCCTTGTGTTGTAGTTCAAGAACAGACGGCAGCAGTTTTTAGTTGCAGTGAGTTGAAATGAGAAGTGCATAATGAAACCAGCCCATTAGAGGGACCCAGGACTGCTGCTCTGTTCCTTTTTAATTTTTAATTTTTCCTTTTTATTTCTTTCTTGAACAGAAAACATTCCAGAGAAGTGGACTCCAGAGGTCAAACACTTCTGTCCCAACGTCCCCATCATCCTGGTAGGAAACAAGAAAGACCTCCGTAATGACGATCACACGCGCCGAGAGCTGGCCAAGATGAAGCAGGTAGCTGATGGACGCACCATAAGCTGCGTTAAGATCACTTACCCCCCACAAACGTCTGACTAAAGCAAACTCCCTCTTTGTCTCCACCCAACAGGAGCCGGTGAAGTCCGAGGAGGGTCGGGACATGGCCGGCCGCATCGCTGCTTTCGGATACATGGAGTGCTCTGCTAAGACCAAGGACGGAGTGCGGGAGGTGTTTGAGATGGCCACCAGGGCGGCGCTGCAGGCCCGCCGGGGCAAGAAGAGCAATAAATGTGTACTGCTCTAAAATGGCAGGCACATTTGGACTGTTTTCACACTGGGTTGTTAAACCCGAAAATAGGGCTCGGGAGGGATTACTAGATGGGGGGAGGGGAGGGGAAAGAAAAGAGTGCAGTAAATGACTACCACTGTAAAATGGCTGTTTGTTGGATTGAAATTTACCCTGGGACTTAATGTGGGAAGCTAGATGGAGAGGGGTGGGTGGGCGGGCGGGCGGGCGGGAGCAGAGTAAATAAGTACCGCTGTAAACCATCAGGCTCTTCACCTGTGGGCGTGCCATCGCGTGGGGAGATTTACACCAGCCGCCAGCCAAGAGCTGGTACATTTCGTCTTTTCAGCAAGCCACTTAATCTGATTAAGATCATCAGGAAACCCCAGTCCTTCATTCAAATGTAACTGGATTGTAGAATGTTTAGTCTCCTGCCCGGGTGACTGGACAGACAGATGGGGCAAACATCAGCACAGTAGACGAGCACCGCAGCCAGCCGGGAGCGGCTCTGTCCAGGGCTCTGCCCGGAGCTGGACAGGAGAGGGGGTGGGACCAGGGAAGCACAGAACAAACCGGGGCAGCGTCTGGTGATTTTAGTTTTTTTGGCTCTGGTTCCGTTTGGTTTATGCTGAGTTAATAAGAGCAGGTCATTTCAGCACTCAGAGGCAGACTAATCAGCAGGTTTCAGTTAGTTTGGGCTCCGCGTCACAAAGAAGAATTAGTTTAATTTGCTGTGTGGCGTTAAGCAGACTGTCAGGTGCTCGGGCCTCTTGTTTTCTCAGAGATGACTCGCACAACTCGCATACACACCTCAATGCCATTTTCTCTCACCGTGGCTAATCCCCCCCCTTCCCCCCCCCCCCCCCCCCCCCCCCCCCGGTGAGCTCTGGCCTTACTTAGTTAATCTGCTGTCACCTGACAGTAAGTGCTTTATTTCTGCGCACTTTGAGTTTCAAGAAAAAATTTCCTCGGTGCTGCTTTTAAATTGAATTTGATAATCTAATCGAGAGCGATCTATTCCTGCCTCAGACTGTACTCGGCGTACCGTTTTCCAGCTCGCTGTGCTGTTTGCTTACAGCAGGCATGCAGTTCTCTGCTGCGTCTGCTTTGAGGAAGGGGGTCGGACCTCTTTCTTTTTTTTTAATTGGTGAAAGTGGCAGATGATTTGACATGAACGTATGAATATTTTCTTTTAGGCGAGCTTAGCATTAAGTAAAGAGATGTCTTTTTTGGGGGGATGGGACAAACGGGGGGCCTGGGATGTCCCACAGTGTCCCCCGCTTGTCTGGTTTATTGTGGCTCTGCCACCTGCTTTCCCGGTTAGTGAGACAAATGAAAGGTGTAAAATGACCGTGCGCATGGAAACGCCAGGCCGCTGGGCCAGATGGGTTTTGAACATGTGATCTGTCTCGCCGTGCACACAGAGGATCAGCCTGCCGTTGATTTTAGGGGATTTTTCCAGCGTTTTCTAAAAACGGAAGCTCGGCCAGTCGTATTTGGGTTAAGTAGCCACCAACCTTTTCTGACTTTTTTTTGCGTTTAATCTGTCAGATTTCGGCTCATTGACAGCAGCGTTCCACCCTCCTGTTCTTCCTCCTGGCCCACAGCATCGAGCCTGTTCCAAAAACCAGTCTTGTGTTGTTTTTGTACTTATATTTCCAGCTTTTACGAAAAAGAAGAAAAAAAAGTCATAAACCTGTCTTATCAGTATTTAAAAAAAAAAAAAAAAAAGGTGGAAAACTAGGGAATTACTCATGTGTTGTCGCTTTAGTTTTTTTTTTTTCTTCGGGTTGCGCTTGACCTGAATTTCTCAGCTGATTTACACTTGGTTGTAATGACCCGTCAATCATCCCTGCCACATGCTGTTGCCGGGCAGTCCGGAGAAAGGCTGGCCTCTCGCCTGCCTGTCTAGAGCATCGCCAGGGCCCCAAGTGCTGGTGTTTTTTCTGTTTGTTTGTTTTGCACACAAACCTGGCTGAAAAGACAAAATGAAAGATGACTTAAGTTTCCTAATGTACAAATCATTTTTATTTCTAGATTTTACTGTAATTTTAAATCCTGATTTGTGGATGCTGAAACAGTGACGGAAACAAAGGAACAGGAAAACCAAGCTGTATGCAAAGTCTGTAAATATGAAATGTGGGTCTGTTCATACTCGACATACACATGCACATGACTGGAAACTATTTGTAAACTAGCTTTGGTTTGTGTAATAAATTACTTTCTATAACACCCAGCCCATGCTCCTTTTGTGTACTGCTGACTGGAACTGGACGTTTGACCCCCTCCAGAGAAATCCTTCACGTTTAACGTGCAGAAGAAAACACAAACTGACAGATAATGATTATTCTAATCGGCTTTATTGTTGGGGTGACGTGTCTAAACATTGAGGGTAAAGGGGAGAAAGAAGAACACGTCAAACAAGCTGAAAAAGAATGCATCCATTGTCAAACGTAAATCCACCCATTAAGATTAATAAGTCCGTTAATGTTATTTTTCCAAGTGGCTCCATATTACAGCAGATTTAATCTCAAGGCACATAAAACTTAAAGGCCATTTGCAAGCCAATTCACCATGATATAATCATTATACATCAGATCCAAATCATTACATTTCGAATTAGCCCCTTCAAAGCTCCCATCAGAGCCTTATTTATTAATTTTTTAAAGAAAGCCACAGATTGTATGCCACTGAAGGGAAATCTGCCATTTGTTGATGGTTTCCAAAGTCTGCTTAAAGTCCAACTAGATACGGAACTTTCTAACCTAATATTTTTGCTCTAATTAAGATTTTGTCTACTGGACAAACAAGTTTTCACTCCATGCTCATTTGAGAAACCTTCCATTGGAATTGATGTTCTGAACCAAACCGTAGATTTAAGTAGCCATAGAAATGCTACGATGATGTTGCAAAATAAACAGAAAAACAACAGATTAATTGTTTTGGCTGAGCATTAACAATCAAAGTGTTCAGAGCCAGATGAAATGGTAATTAGAGGAACAGCGGTGGAGCTGGAGGACCTGCGGCCGGGCCCAGGGGCCTGAGCAGCCGAGTGCGTGGGCCGCCGAGGTGAGGCCGCTCTCAGCCTGAGTGGGAGGATGCCGGATGCTGTGGAGCTGGAAACGGAGCCGTTCGGTGCCTAGCGGCATCCATTTGCCGTGTGTGTTGCGCAGAGTGGGTGAGTGAAAATCCAAGGCAAAAAAAAAAAAGAAAAGGATGTTTGAGAAAGATGGTGCTGGTGTTGAGTAAGCAGTCTCTTTTACATAACCTTCCTATAAAAACATACAGCCCGTGTTTATCTGTGGATGCGGCTGCCTCCTTTGCTGTTTAGCGGACCAGTTCAGACTCACTGTGACCTTCGGCTGTTTAAAGAAATTTGGTGGTATAGTGGGAGGACAGAGGGTGAAGGACAGATACACAGAAGAAATGGAGGGAGGATGGGACTGTGGGATGCCTCCTCCTCCCACAGTCCCACTATGGTGGAGGCATGGTGGGTGGATATGCAGAGTGAACAAGGCAGCTTCAGATGTTATGAAAACTGACCTCTTTTTGACGATATTTTTTGCTTTTCCGTAAAAATAAATCAGCTTTACGCCTTCAAAACCAGCTGTTACAGGGCAAAATGTGGGACTGAAATCAGTCAGTTTTCTGTCCACTCCACCACAGTGGAACTAGATAGATTCAAAAGTCTCACACGGTGAGAAAAAGGATTTCTTAATTTAATCATTAAAGTGTATTCCGTGGCACATGGCTGCTCTTCGTATCATAAAGCACCCACTCATCCCTCGGCACACACTGCTTGGGGAACTGATTCTCTACAGAGACATTAAAGCGAAAACCAGAGCGTCAAAAAGGAAGGAAGGAAGTTCGTCACTGCCTACTCCACCCAGAGGTGGTGGCCGGGCTCCATGTAAGACATAACCGCTGCTTCTGGTGCAATACTTGTGGAGGAATGAGCAAGAGGGAGGGTGCTGCGGGGGTTCTTTTCTCTCTGCGGCTCCGCCGGCTCCTCCGGCAGCCGGCCGGGGACGACTGGAGCCCCGCGAGCCACCAGGGCCGTCCTTATATACCGGCCTATTTTTAGCCCCTCACAAGCCCAACTATTTTTAACCAATATGAGTTCTTTGCCCACTTGATTTGCCCAATGAGATAAGCGACGAGAGAACGAAGCTGTCCAATGAGGGGAGGGTAATTGAGAAAAGGGGCGGGGTTATACAAGAGCCCATCATCTGCAATGAAACAGCCAGCGAGGGAAGGAAAAAGAAAGACCTCTCACTCTGATGCTTTTCTGAGATAGAAAATAGTGTTTCAGTGTTATTGACAAACTATTCCCCCCTTACTTACCGTACATAATAACTTCTTCATAATTATCTGTTCATATTATGAGACAAAAGTATTTCTACTAATGAGTTGTAGAGTTTGTGAAGGACATCTGAACATTAACACGAGATTTAATGAAGACAATTCTACCCATTTTAGTTCGGTGTCACAGAAAACATGATGAACAGATGTCACAGAATTCATGACAATTTGGAAGAAAATGGTGCACAGATAAATTGTTACATACTGAGCTTCATACTGAGTTCCTTACTGATACAGATTTTGGGGCTATATTGAGAGCCAGGTTAATCACCAGGTTAATCACGTGGCATTCAATGTAGAACAAAAATAAAATCACTGCACATAAAAAAATCTGTTGCTATATAAGTAGACAGAGGCCAACATTACAATTTTAGGTTTCTTTTAACTATTGAGCAATGCCTAAAATCTGGAGTTACTCATCGTAATGATAGATGATCTTTGATAGTGACTTTGGACTGGCACAACTGGCTCTTCAGTCCTGTCTGGAATGGGTTTTGTTATGTCTTTGGAAGGAGATCATGACAAAAAATCAACCCGTAGCTATGAGTCATCGGTACACCCACCTAATCTGTTGTTTCCAAAAGTTTTTATTTTTAGATTCTCCGCACTGAATCACACTGGTGATGGCATCCGTCTCTGTTCTACTGGTGGGGCAGGACTAAGTCTCCACGACGCATTTAAATAAAACACAACTAACCAAACATAAACCAAACAAGCTTCAGAACACATTGGTTGTTGCTCGAAACTAATGAAAGCATTTTACATTCTCTTTTTTTTTCACAGGTAGCTGCCGTGTTGTCACAAAGCGCGTTCTCGCCAAGCGCGCGCTCCCGCTCAAAAAGGTTC